AAATTTAAGATTTGTATTATTATATCTACAATTATTTATCTATACGTATGTATAATACACTAACTGAGTTAACATTAGTATATAAAAATAAATTTAAAAGCTTCATGATATCCTTTATTTAAATATCGTTAAGTTTCCTTAATCTATATATTTTTAAAGGTACAGATATAAATTTGTAAAAAAAAAAATTATTTCATTAGGATTCTTTCTAAAATAGAAGAAACATTTTAGATTTATAAAATTGTATATATATGAATCTGACAACTTTTTTTATTTAAATTACCATTATATTATGAAAGTTTTTTACGATGCTTAAAGTATTAACCTACAGTAAATAAATGCAGAATGCTGAAAATTTTATAAAGATCTTCTCTATTGATATTTTGAAAATATCTGAATTTTGTCAATCTAATAACTAATTATACTAAGTAATATAAATATAATTATAAAAAACTTCAAATTCAAGAAAACAAAAATTAATTGTAACATATACAAAATACAATGTTATATAATCATTTACCATGAAAGTATTAAATGCGTAAACAAGAGTAGAATGTTTAAAATTATTTTATATATATTTAATTGAATTATCTATATCATTTAAATTTAATAAATATAAAATAAAATATATATTTTATACTTATAATATTTATATTAATAATTCTGATTGGACACACTAATAAGGCTAAATCTCATTGGCGACGCCATGATCAACAAGACAGCTCTGATTGACAACACCAAAAGAGAGGGAATTCTCACCGACCACCGTGTGGTCGAGAGAAGGCTTTAAAAAAGGTAACACCGGCACGGCACAATCACTTATCTTATCTTATCTAACAGAATAAGAACAAGTCAATTAAACGCAAAGGTCCAAGATTAATCTATTCAACACAAGTACTAGATAATCAAATCATACACTCGCAGCAGTGTAATACAAAAAAGGGAATCGAGAACTACGAACATTAGTCCGCACAGTATACACAATTAAACTACAAGGAGCCCTACGAGGCAATACAAAGAATAAGACAAAACATAGCTATACACAACGTGCAGACTCACGAGGTAACGTTCCATTTCAAATTAATTCTTAACTATATCAAGCTATACACGCCAATCTGCAGATACGTAAAGCTATCTGCAAAACATAATACAAGCAATTCAAGCGACGCCACGTGCTCATATACAAGGAGTCGCGGGGGTTTACGACCTCGCTCTTCTGTGTGTATGATTTCATCTACACGTGTGTTACAAATAGAGGACCAGCAAGGCATCAACTTCTTCCTGTGTATGCCACGTACGTGATAGCTCAGTGACAATAAACATACAAATCAAGAAAAGCAAAACTCAATTATAAAAATAAAACTAATTAGAATTCAATTAGTGCAATCATAAAAATAAAACAAAACCAAATAACAAAACTACTCTTTATTGAATACATGTACTATCTTGTCTACTAGCCTACAATCCTCCTATCAACATCGGGAGCTCACACCTAATCTTAGTTACTTGGCCCTCCTCGCCCGGTACACTATTTTTAGACACTCATGATTTTGTAAACTTTTTGGGCGAGAATTTTCGTGTACATATTATGTTTTGGTTTTAAATAGCTTAGAATGTTATGGTGTTCGAGCAGTAACGTCGCTTGGAGTTCTCCAAACTTCTTACATCTTGTTTTTTCTACAGATTCCTTTTTAGTTTATGCCTTATTGTTTAGCGTTCTACAATATTTCCACATAGCAACAACGATTGAAAATTATTGAACTGTCCAATGTAGTATCCTTCTAGACTTCTCGAATATTCTGTAGCCTCGCTCTGACGTCATAAAGACTTTCCACTTATCCATAAATCCAAGCACTGCTAACAGCATTGCAAGCTACCACGCTAATATTTAAGGGCAGCTCGCCACGCGCCGGTGCTCACTGTATCTTTATAAATCATTTACTCAATCAATCAGTTATCAGTTATTAACTCTGCCACGTACCAATAAAGTTGTCACAATATACGCACATAATTCTGCCAAACTCTGAAATAATAATCTAATAAGCCAACAGTGAGGCCATAAGAATTTGTAATCATTTAAGCGCGCTATATATTTAAGAAGACACGAGTGCTAAGTGTAATTCAAAGGTGAATAATAAACTAGAAGAGCATCACCTACACATTCATCACAAAATTACGCAAGGCAAATATATTTACCGTGAAGTCAATTTGAAAGGAAAACCATATATTGAAAGCGCAAGAGCGCCAGCCTCGCACGACTCTACTAAGTACTTATCAGTTCGCGAAGATCCCGCGAACAGCCTTAGGCGACATACACATCACGGCTACAAGGGACAGATGTTAGCACGTCACTAACACGTGGCACTATTCAAAGAAGTACCAGAGATTTATACCTCTTACTGCTGCAGGTACTGATTACCATCACCGCGTGAAAAATACGGAAAGGATTTTACAGATTCCAGCACCACCTTAGAATCATATTCATTGTAGTCGGTAAATAAAGAGAAACCCCAAGATACGCTGTGTGTTGGCATTGAATTAATGCGCCTCCCTCTTCCACTTGCCAGCAATCCTCCCACCACACATCATTGGGGGGTTTTTTAGTCTGACCCCAAACACTCATATACTTTCATAATATCGTAGTTTATAATTTTTATACTATGGTGGTTATATACATTTTTATTATATAATTATATAGTGATATACATTTTAATTATATAATTATATAGTGATATACATTTTAATTATATACATTTTTAATATTAAAGAGAATTTTTAAACTTAAAAACGTCAATATTAGAAACCTTAATCAATGGACATAAGATATTTAAAATCCGAAAAGGCGGAAACAAAAGAAGCATTTGGTACTTTATTTATCAACTAATATATGAATTAAAGAAAAATATATATTATTATTATGATTATAATTTTGCTTTAAAATTGTATTTAAAAGGTATCTTATAATATAACTAAGCAATACCAAGTATTTATAAAGAAATAATAAAAAGTAATTAATTGATTCATATATAAAAAATACAATAAAACAAAATAATAAAAATATATTTATTATAGTTAATAAATTTGAATTTCTATAATAAGAAATAAAATGATATATAATAAAAATTAAATAATATGGCACCGTACATTTTAAATACCATTAATTAAAATGTTGTCAATTCAGTTATTTATTTAATCAAATCTTAATTTGAAAAATATTTTATAACCATTAATAATAATCAAAATATAACTATGAAAGCATATTAATATTGTGTCTTAAATAGATGAAAGTGTTCGAAACTGTTTTATTTCCTGGCTTTTCTATGACCATTCTGGCATTTTCTTGATATGAAGAAGATAGGATCAACACCTTGTAATTGCAGCACATGAGAATTGATGTGTCTTTCTTCTATCGCGATCAGCTGGTTACTGAGCGACTAGTCTTCATAGGTAAATAACATGACTGACTGCATCAATGAGTGAAAGTCTAGAAATGCGCCTCGTGGCGCGCATGTCCTAAATAGCCAAGCGACAGTTTTGTTAGCTGACAACAAAGAGCCGATCATAGCGCTAGAAACAATGGGTACGACTATGGCACAAGAAATAATGGAGGTGATTGTGCACTTGAATCATTTCGGATGTACCGACTTTTCCGAACCTCTAACGACCGTTGAAGAATTTTCCTGGAAGTTATGTCCATTGAATCATTTCCCCAAAATGATAACCGTTGCTGGTATTTTTTTATATTTATTTTGTATCATTTTGAATTTATATTACAAAGAATATAATAAGTAAAGCAAATTGGTAATCTAAATCAAAATATTTAGATAGAAGTATGTGAGTTCAGAAATAAGATACCCATTTCTATTAAATATTCTTATATTATTTTAAATGTCTTTTTATTTTATTAAATAATTCTGTTAAAGTTAAATATGTAACTATAAATTTTTAGTTTATTAAGTCATTTTGGCTATATATCGAAACATTTCTAGATGCTAAGTATTAATATATATATACAAAGTTTAAATTCGTTGTTATTTAAGACGAGCGCACTATGAGGCGCATTAGTAGACTTTCAGTCATTGACGCAGTCACTCATGCTATTCACTCACGAAGACTAGTCGCTCAGCAAGCTACTCACGATGATAGAAGGAAGACGCATCAATTCTCCTGTGCTGCAAATAAAAGTTGCTGACGCTATCTCCTTCATATCAAGAAAACGCCAGACGACACAAGATGTACTCCTTAATTCACAAGCGTGCATAATCATTGCTGATCCTTGAAAAATCAGCGATAATTCATAACAATCAACAGGGAGCATTCGTGATGGTTATCTACTCATTACAGGATCGTATCAAGGCTACTGCATCACTATGAGTAAACAAATTCTGTGCACATAATTGCTAATCCTTACAAGATTAACGAGGGTATTCTTACATACTGTAAGACACACTCCCTTATGGGTACGCGAATTTGTCTTTGTTTTGCACAGACGACACATCGTAATATTTGTGATTTTACAGCTGACCGACCTCCCAGTATCCAGTACTGTTGGCGAGTGTATGCTAACGTGATTTGGTTACCTCCGTGAAGTGTTTTGAGGTGTTCTTGATCAATATTTGTTGTCCTCTGTCATGAAGCGTTCATTAGTCTTCCACCAACTCTGACGATACCTTGTGCATCGATGTAGGCAGTGAGTCGATGGAATGCAAGTGAGGAGAGCAACTTTTTTTTGGGATTTCAGTAGTTTTAATTCATGGGAGAAGTATGTGTCTTGTATCGCTCGTATCCACTGAATTCTTGCTTGGTCTATCTTAATGTGTGTCAGCTGAGCCTTTGATGGCTGTTCCCCTTTCAAGCATGCAATGAATCTGATGCGTATTGCTGTTATTCACAATACGTTATTGAGTAATGAGTATTTGTAAATGATGTTCCAATTACAGTGGGGCTTGTCAATTGTTGCAATTAATGAGATACTTGGGCGAACTTCCTGAATGCATTTTTTATCCCATTTCTGTCGGTTGTGTTGGCCATGAGTCTGGAGTGGTTATCCATGGTGGTCCAGTCCACCATAGTGGATGATCCTTGAGTAGCTTAGTTGTTAGTCCCCTGGATGCGCAGTCTGCTGGGTTTGATGCTGCCGGCACATATCTCCATTGTGCTTCTGAGGTAAGTTCTTGAATCTGGGTGACTCTGTTGCAAACGAATTCCTTCCACCGTGACGCGTGAGATTTAATCCATGTTAGCGTTACTCGAGAGTCAGTCCATAGGTGTGTAGCCCTTACCTTCATACCTAGTGTGGTCTTGATATGTGCCATGAGCTTTGATAGTAGTAGCGCAGCTGCTAATTCTAGTTTTGGGATTGTAAGTTCTTTGAGTGGTGCTACCTTCGTTTTTGAGCATATGAATGCAACATTCGTCTTATTCTTGTTGTGCAGCATCTCACACCTACAGCTACATACGTTTTCTGATGCATCCCAATTGGAAATATCGGCAGTAATATACGTATCCGTGCACGAATCAGATAGCATTATGATTGCATTGTTATAATCCTTGCAAAATCAGCAATAATTAATCGCCATCAACAAGGAGGATTCTTGATGGTGAACTAATCATTAAAGGATCGTATCAAGGCTACTGCATCACTGTGAGTAAACAAAGTTTGTGCATTTAATTACTAATCTTTACAAGATTAGCAAAGCTATTATCATATAGCAAAAGACACACTTCCTAACAAAGAGTGTGTGTACACAGTTGTTGATTCATATAAAATCAACAATAGCAACATCTCCCTGGCCAGGAGTATATGCTTAATCAGATGTTGATCCTTACAAAATTAACAGTATCATCTCCCTAATACTGAGGGTTCACAATTATTGCTAGTCGTTACAAGACTAGTATAACGCTATTATTAATAGCACAAAACACTCACTAATAATGAGTGTGTCCACTCAGTGGTTGATTCTTACAAAATCGACAAAAAATCATCATCATCAAGGAGCATCTTTGCGTAGGTAAATCATTCACAACAGTATCAGTTCCAAGCAACTGCATCGTCATGATTGAATAGGATACACCCTTCCATCGAATAAATCCAATACAACAATAGTGTAATTATAAATATAATATATTTATCGAAGAAGCACATACTGTATTTCTACAACCTTTTCACTAAACTCCTTCCGAAGCATCCACTAGTAAATTAAATTAAAGCTATTGAAACATTGGCAGTTCGAGCCAAGAAATAAAACAGTTTCGAACAGAATACATACACTATATATTGGCAATCGTATAATTTATATAATACATATATATGTATATAAATGTACTACACATATATTATATAAACAATATTCGTAAAAATTAAATGCTAATAATAAATTTTTAGATAGTTTAAAGAGCAGTAAAAACCACTGTTATCAAAATTGTATAAATTAGTTAACTATTACATTAATAATTTATATATTGAATTAACATTATCAATATTTGAGTTTAAAAAATTTACTTTAAGTTTATTTATTGTATATATATATAATGAAATTAATTTATATTATATACCCTTTATTGCATTGATATCAATAAAATATTGGTAAACCATATACTGAATATATATACTGAAAAAATTAAAATCTTCTTTTCATAAAATTTAATAATCTATTTCTGTTTAATCAGTATTTTATCAATCAATGTTCTATATAAAAAAAAGACTGTAATTGAACATGAAGAATCAATGTAAGAATGAGGCGCGACTAAAGTAACTACCGTGATGGTAGTATACGCAATATCAGAACTAGTAGTAGTAAAGCTTTCATCACTAATAGCATCTCCCACCCCAAACATGCAACAGCGAAAATGGGCTCTAAGATGGACGGCGCCCGCGCGCTAGAGCAGTCTGTATTGAACCACCTCGGCTCGCGTAATACCTAGTGTGCGGTGGCCAATGACCGGTGCGGCACCATTGACCGCTTGATTGCCATTCCGCGCAGGCTTGGTGACAAGCAACCTGCAGAAATACATTATAGGAGAAACAGAACAAAACTGTAAGAGCACTGATGAGGTAGAGAAGAAAAAGGAAAACGAATAAAGTAAAAAAGGCTGACTACTTGTTCACACAGATGGGATTTATCGCACGAGCGCGACGAGATATCGTTACTCCCAGGTACAATCGTAGAAGGGACTACTGTATGTTCTACTATATCCATTTTTAAAAAAATTTTGCAAAAAACTGTCTTCTTTTTAAATAGAAAAAAAACAAAAGTTAACGATTTTCAAAGTCTTATAATTATTAACGATATTTTTTCTTGTTTTCTTCACTCAGTCCATAGCATTATTAATAGTGCAAATTCTTTTTGTCCATATGTAACTCTAAAATGGATATATGAAAATAAGTGTAAAGCATGTATTAAAAGAAGATTGAATGATATAGAAAGTGAAATTGATAGACAAAATAAAATCGCATATTTCTGAATAAATAAGCATATATTTCTTAACGTGTGAGATGGTTAAATATCATTAATTAAATAATGTACTTACATAAAAAATTTCAATTAACTTTTTTGAACTTAACGCATATATCGAGTTAAATTAAAATTTTTTTTTATTAATTTATTATTATTAATGATAAATATTATTAACATTAAAAAGTTTTTATACTTTTGATACCTCAATTCCTAAGACTTTTCAATGTTTTTAACGAATGTGCAGGTTGCAAGATTTATTTCAACAGTAGTATCATTATTTCATGACATATATAGAAATTATCGCTTTATGCTATTTTTTAATTTTAAATAAACAAACCACACTCATTATTCATAAAGATTTTAAAGAATTGTTAAAAAGTTTAAACTGGGTTACTTTCCTTATCTTCAAATACATGGTATGTTCGTAAAAAATATTTTATTTGAAAATTTACTATATAAGTTATCTTGATTTCTTAGTTTACTATTTAGCTAATAAAAAAGGTATTTTTATTAAACATAATAAATAATTTTATTATAATAAAAAGTTTATATTGTTATTCATTTTTTTTTAATATTTAATTATTGTGAAATTTTTAAATATTTAAATTTGTTTTATTCGCTATTTTTCTATTTGAATTCATAAGATACTATTAAATAAGAAAATATTAATAATATATTTTAGCTACATAAATGTTCATTTGAATTACATTAATTGTTTTAAAAAGTATATATTATAAAAGATATGGAGTTTTTTTTAATTAAAATTACATTTTCTTAGTAGTGAAACGATAAAATACTATTCATGTATCTGTGGAATATAGCGAAAATTTCGTCTATAATACATGAATATTAATTATCTAATATTTAATTCAGCATTCATTACTTTTTCTTTATATTCTTGAAGTTATATGAAATATTATATATGATGTGGTAACTAACCTAAATATACTTAATATAGTAATAATATAAATATTATACTATATAATACAAAAATACGCATAATACAAAAAAATACGCATTAAATTATGTACGCACTAATTCCTATATATTATACAATATAATCGACTACTATACCTAATCTAAGGCAAAAAATGATTTTATTAATAAACTATTAATACAATTTGAAGCTATTAACAAGAAATCTAAACATTAATTTATATATTTTTTATAAATTATCAATGTCTAAGCAATTTTTATTGTATTATTAAATGTCTGAATTATATTTAAAGTCTTGTTGTTAAAAAGTATTGTTATAATATTGTACATAATTCAAATTAACATTGTTTTCTGTACTGAAGTATACATTTGTGGTATAATTAAAGATTATACTTGTATATATTAAAAATCTTATCAGTTATTATTAAACATTTTACTAAGTGAATAAGTATTAAAATATAATGAAGATAGAATTCCAATTTTATTGAAATTTCATAAATTGGTGAATAGAAAATTTCATTTTATGAAATATTTAGAGTAAATAAAAGTTAATAAAGAAATATAGATAAAAGCAAAATTAAAAAATGAATAGTTTCAAAAATAAATATATTGTTTATATTTTTATTTTTATTTTATCAATAATAACATTCATTTTAATATATAAATTATCATAAAACAAAAATGAAATAGACAATACATAAATATTATATATGTATTATAACATTAAAATAAATATGTATATTACAATACTTAGTTACTATTTTATAACACTTCCAAAGATTTATTATACTTCCAAAAAAGACAACTGATTACATATGTAAAATTTACAAGTAATTATATAATACATTGATATAATCTTAATCAATTATTTAGTAGATATTTAAATTATTTAATAAATGTACTAAAATTTTATACACTTACAAAAATAATTATATAACGAATATAATATCTTCGTTCTTTTATTTTATCTTTTTTTTAAATAATAATACACGTAATTAAGATAGACAAAAATTAAAAAAAAAGAGCAAAGAGAACGTTAAGTTACTATTATTAAATGAGAGAAGACAATGTTCAAACATAATATAATTATATTAATTCTGATTTAACATAATTTACTCTAAATATATTTCAATTGATTTTTCATATTCTTTATCCTCCTCCTTTAGATTATTAGTCTCATTAAAATTTAAATTTAAATGAAATAATAAAATTATAAAAATGATTACAGCAAATTATTAAAATTTAGTTGTGCAATTGTTTTTGGAAAAATATATGTTTATTTTGAATTTGATTTCGTTTAAAATTGAGCAATATTATAAGTATCAATTATTTTAATATAAATGATATATTTATTTTTAGTACAGATTCATTACTTTCAGGTAGCAGTTATTAACTACTATGTACGAAAATTAATTAATTACTGTTGTATTATAACACTTGATTTATTTATATCATACTTATTGTAAATTTTATGAAGAGTGCTAATTTCAAGCATATATTTTTTTAATATATATCTTTTTTTCTATTAAGAATTCCTTCCACCTATTAACTTCTCTTTCAAATAATAAAATTTACTTTATCGTTAGATAAGGAACATAGTAAATCTCATCTATAATAAATGATACGTAATAATATATAAATCACATTTGATATTTTCTAATAAATATCATTTAAAACTTCAAAAAATGTTTTGTAGATTCGCGAGACCTTCGGGATATTAAAGTAAAATGGTAGAATATTATAATTTTCTTATTTCACGATCTATTTTACTATTTCTATAAATTATAACAATCGTTTAATGCAGTTACAACGAAGCTATGTACTACCCGATTGAAAATCTTATTTTTTTAAATTTCATCTGAGTTTCAAGAAATTTTTATTATACTATTAATATTTAGCTATGCATAACACTAATAAAATAATGTAATGTAATATAATATATATACAATGTAATTCCATTATATAATGAAATGTCAAATCTATTTGATTAGCACTTTTAAATTATTACAATTATATTTATTTTATATTCATTTATCGTGATCATATCATATATTACTTTAAATGCCTTTAACGACTTACAAATATTAATCATATTTCATATAATAAATGCCTGTGTTTATGTTCAAAATATTTTACTGAAAGAAAGTGGATAGGTTACGCATTTTTTTATTTACAAAAGGATATGTTTTATTTTTTAAACTGTAAAAAATAAATAAAATTTTCAAATATATAAAGAAACTTGTGTATCCACATATTTTGTATTAGTATATCTTAGTATAAATATAATTTACACTATATATTTTTTTAATTCAATCAAACACATAAGAAAAGAGGTCTTTGAATATTTAATTAGTAAATAAATAAAAGTAATTTAGTCAATGTGAATCAAATTCATCAAAGTAATGGAAACGTGCATGTTATGAAAAATGAAAAAATGATAAAAAAACTATTTTTAAATTAAATTCTAAGTTATACATTAGTCTAAAATTCTTCACTTCTAAGTGTTTTCAAATATTTACGTTTAGTGAAGATAATATTTTTCCAAAATATTAACAAATTAGAGTAATTTAATATATATATCTTTAATTTAACATCAATATAAAAGAAGTAGATTTATAAAGCTTTCAAGCAAGTTCTCTTCGAAGGTTAGAGATTACGATTTACTTTACAAGCGATATTACATAAATGTATGTATCTAATCCATTTCGATAATGGCGCATACATGTCGATATGCATGTACATAAGTACTTGAATGTCCTTGTGATGACTGCCCTACGCAATTTTCCACGTGGATATTAAAATTGCAATCAAGATGAAATATAAATCACGATTAAATCTGTTATTTAATCTACAATTACAGCCTGAGTTGCAATTAACCAATGATTAATAATTCATCGATTTAACTTATTCCATTTGCTATTTTCTATTTTTTTATCTATATAAATAAAAATTTAAAGGCGATTTATATCATATATGTCCATAAAATTATCAACTACTGTTTATTTTGAGAGACTAAAAACGTCGACAAACGTATTGGTTATTTTAAAACAATATAACTTTGTACATTCTTTATTTATGAAATATAAAGCCAATTTCAATTACAATTATTATTGATTATTGATAAATTCCATTGAAAAATGAAGTGAAAAATAAGATGTTTAAGTTAAGCATGCGTGATCAAAGACTAAGAAAAACACAAAAAATATATGCTTTTTCCTTATACTTTAAATAATGAATGCGATATAAAATAAAATTTAATTACATATATTATACTACTTTTTAAATTAGATTTCTTACTAATTTTATAAATAATCTCAATTTATAATTCCTAAATAAAAAATTCGTTCGTTGCTAAATAGTAAATAAACTTCTAGTACAAAAACTGACTTCCCAAAATTTTCCAATATGTAATTTGTTTGTTCATCGATTCATTTATTTAATTACGCTTTTTCACTATTTCAATATTGGAACATTTTGATATATCATAATAATAATATATTGTAATAGATATATAATAATATATAACAATGTATAATTTCTTTTTTTAGTCATTACCACCAACATATTATTATTATTGCTGAAAGTGTATAAATATAAAAACACTTTTAATAAAATCATTTTAAAGCATACTTAATATTTTATCATTAAAGTCATTAATTGCGTTTTAAAATAACAGGTGAAATATGGTGTTAAAAATTTTACCAATTTCTAAAATCTATATGTATATACATAGTATAAATATTATAATAGTGATACATAATTTTTTTTTATTTACATTTAAAATTAATTATGTTGTATAAATTTCTATAAAAAAATTCTATTCAAAATCGTGTTTTAAAATTTTTTAAAGATTTAAATAAAGCAAACTACATTTTTAAGTATTTGTGTTAATAGTAAATAAATCAATGTTAATGTATAATACCATTATATTGTATTGATTATGTTATATTTATATATTTTATTATGTATTACAATTTTTTATTGTAACCTTTATTATTTAATATAAAAAAACTAGGTGATTTTAAATATCGTACATTTGTTATTAATTTTCCGATAGAGTTTTAGTATTTATATATTTTATTCTTATTAGGTTATATTATATATAACATTGGAAATATATTGTCATTTTGTTCACATTAAATAAAATAAGTATTTTCAATTAATTCAAATATAAATATGAAAATGTGAATAAAAAAAATTAAGATTAAAACTATACAAATTTATATTATTTATAATGTAAAAATATTATTATTAAATTTTTCGTATTTTAGTTAAAAAATACAAAGAATTTCAAAGAAATTTTTTAATGCATAATATATGGAATAATAAGTAAATGAACTCAAAATGGATAGTGGAATTGGACAATGTAAAAAACAGATCCGTGTGGGTTTCTATGATATTGAAAGTACTATTGGTAAAGGAAATTTCGCTGTGGTCAAATTAGCAAGACATCGAATTACGAAAACAGAAGTAAGTTTAGATTAACAGTTAATTATAATTTCTTAGTTATAATTATCACAACTAATTTTGTACACAATAAAATTGTAACTACATCATATGACTTCAAAATCAGTGTACTTTATATTTATATTAGTCAAATACATAATTTTTTAATAATTATTGCTTACTTAGAGATAGTAATTTTTATGCCTATCAAATTTTTATTGAATGTTTTAAAGAATATTATTTCGAAAAAATAATTTTAAGTATACAAACAAAATTTAAGTATGCAAGATAAACATTTACAATTTTATAAATTTCTTATATATTTTAACACGATCTTACGAATAATTAAAAATAAATTAAAATTCTTGAAAAATTATATTTTTATAAGATCATTTTATTCAATAAATTATTAACCTTACATTATATATTATATGTTGATAATAAAAGTACAAATATAAAGCAACAATACAAAAAAATATAAAATGAAAGATTACACATTTGATGCTGAATCGTCCCCATTCGTAATACGTGAATTTAGCATCGTCGATAGATAAAGCAGATGAAGATAAGTATAATTGGAAACACTTATCAATAAAAATATACAACATGTAAATAAAGCAGATTTTGATGACACTTGCGTTGTAGTATAAATTTCTTAGTTAGTGAAAACATTAATTTTCAACTTTCCTTTTAATTATATTGTATATGCATCTTCCGAAAAATTATTATTTGAGAATTTATTAGATACTATAATATTATTTAAAAAAAAATTTATTTATTGAATAAAAAACATATGGTAAAACTCTAGATAATTTTTCAAAAACAAGTTATTTATTAAAAACTTTTTTATACTAGATATTTATAAGTGAAATCTTTTTATTTAAATTATTTACTGAAATTATTTTCAATTCTAATTTTATTGAGTATTTAATGTTTTAAAAACCCGTATAATACCATTTTTGTAATGATATATTTATATTAATATTAATAATATTAATTATATTATTGAAACAAACTATTAAATTTCGTATCTTCAGTTACAAATTTAAAAAGAACTCACTGTAAAAATATCTTTTTATTCTTATGCATAAAAATTTATATTTTTTTTATAATTTATTAACTACGTAAACTATTGTAATACAATAAAAATATAATTATATGTTTTTCTTAAAAAATATTTATTAATAATTAATAAATTAATATATTATGATTCCTCTAATTTTTAAAAGCTTATAAAAGTGTCATTATAAATCATCATCAAACACATTATATAATTTTTTCATTATTATAGAAAAATTATGTCTATATTTGCTTCGTTGAATGATTAAAATAATTTTTTTTTTTAATTAGCTTGTGTTTCATATTTTGTATAAGCATACCATTACGAAAAACATTTTCTTGTTTATATTCATTTGCAATAAAAAGATATTTAAACTAAAAAGGAGGCAATTACATTTATATAAGCTGTATTTTTATTTTGATTATTGGTTTAGGTGGCTATTAAAATAATTGACAAAAGTCAATTAGATTCAACCAACTTGGAGAAAGTTTACAGAGAGGTTGAAATTATGAAACAATTAGAACATCCTCATATCATTAAATTATATCAAGTAATGGAGACCAAAAATATGTTGTATATGGTAAGTTTCATTCTTTTAAATGGAAATTGAACTTCATCATATATTTTTTATTATTTTATTTATTTTTACGAAAAAAAATAATGAGATAAAATTTTTAAGTATAAATTTTAATTGAAATTGAATTAATATTGAATATTGAATAAAATTGGTTCAAACTACAGTTTTATTGCTAATCGAAGTTTCTTATTAATGCAATTTAAAAAATAAAAATGATATATATCGATTCCTATAATATACACATTTAAACTCATAATACTAAATTTATAACATTAAATTTATATAAACAACATCTATATCTAATTGCATATAAATTTTAATATTTCAAACAATATTTATAACAACAAACTTTATATTTTTTTAGTTTATATTGACCTTAATACTAGAATATATCGAATTTTTTATTTTTATTATAAAATAATATATATTCATTCAATTGTAAAAATAAAAATGTTATTATAAATGCATATTTAATATTCGTTATATTAATTTTAAATTTTCAACTATTATAATATAAATTTATTAATCTATTACTTTGCTTTAAAGGATAAATAATTATTACTTATCATATTAAAAAACAATAAATAACTTGATTAATATTGACTAATAATATAACTTCTTAAATATTATAAACATGATTAAAATATTAGTACATAGTACGATAATAATAATAATTTTTAAATTAAAATCTTTTAAAAATGACTTTCTATTCACAACCTTCAAGGTTGATAAAAAATTTTACTTTACGAATGCAAAATTAAGAAAACCGAAATCTAAAGAATCATTTAATTCATAATCAAACAAATCTATAACGTATAGATTTTATAATATTTCAAAATTTTAATCTTTTCAGAAAGTAAGTAAATAAATACAATTTTTCTGTTATACTAATAATGATTATAATTCATAAAAATTATCGTTCTTTTTTCTTTAAAAATGGTTTTACCATGTAAATATGAGCTCCAATTAACACTAACTCTATTTATTTTGCTAGGTTTGTGAATACGCAAGTCGAGGTGAGATTTTCGACTACATAGCCAGGTACGGTCGAATGAGTGAACCACGGGCTCGATCGACCTTCGCCCAAATCCTCTCAGCAGTGGAGTATTGCCATATAACAGGCATTACTCATCGAGATCTAAAAGCTGAGAACCTCTTACTCGATGCCCAAATGTGTGTAAAAATCGCAGACTTTGGATTCAGCAACCGCTTCACACCAGGCGAAAGACTGAGTACCTGGTGCGGGAGCCCGCCCTATGCGGCACCTGAGGTCTTCCGTGGCAAACACTACGCTGGGCCGGAGATTGATGTCTGGGTGAGTGTTCGATGCCACATCTGCCACGAGAATCGGGTGATAGCTTGAAAGGGTGTTGCTTTCGAAACCAGGAATGCTTTAGGTGCTTTCAACAATTTTGAACGCATTCGTAGAATACAGGCTGACTACGGTTTTTCATTTATTCGACACCACCAACAGCGAGATCACCGTTCTTAACTAATTTTTGAAAGAGGTAGATATTTCTTTATACGTTTAAACTGACAATAATTAAGTATTTATTATATTACTAATTAAATGTTTTTCGTTTTTATTAATGTATACAATATATAAAATTTCTTCATTTTTTTTTAATTAATAATTGGCTAAATAATCATAAATTTGTTTAAAAATTTAATATAGTAACGATTTTAAAATTAGACAAAGTAAGAATTAATCCATTATCGTTACCATTATAAAATTTATACTAAACAACAAAACTTAAAACTTTATTTAAATTGTGTAATAGGCATATTTTGTATTCCAAATTTTATATTATTTAAATATTGATATTGATATTACATTATTAGTAAAATTATTAGTAAAATCAATTTGTAATTAATTAATAACTGTGTAAATAATATTGAATTTAATTAAATATTATAATAAATAATATATAATATATAATATATACACACAAAATTCATGTAACCACAAAATTAGAATTACCGACAGTAAAGTTGTATTATATATATATTCTTTAATTATTAATTTACAATGAATATTACTGAATTATATTCAATTATTTTATTACATAATCATTACTTCACTATATTCCAAATTTAATGATTTATTCAATTTATGCAATCAAAACGTAAAATTTAAGTGTATTTAATTTTTCAAATTAAAAATGTATAATAATAATTTTTTAATTAAATAGAAGAAATTAACTAAACGTTTTAAACACTGCATTACGACAGAAGTAAATTAAGATAATTTATATCAATGCATAATAAAATATATAATAATAATATTTTTAAACATGAAATTCTAATTCAATAAATAATTTTAAGGCATTGCAGTTTCGATACAAATTTACATGAGATATTAGATCATTTAAAATTAAAAAATATTCAAAATAGAAAGTTTTTATACAAGGCGCATGAGTGAAATATTTAAAAAATCGAAGATCTTATTCCATTTTCAGAGTTTAGGAGTTGTTCTTTATGTCCTCGTTTGTGGTGCTCTACCATTTGATGGATCTACACTGCAATCACTGAGAGATCGAGTACTTAGTGGCAGATTTCGTATTCCATATTTCATGACTACAGGTGCACAATACAAATAATTAATTTTAATTAATTAAATAAATGTAAAGTAAGCAGAATTGTCATTGTACTGGGAATAATATAATTGAATTGTAGTTTGAACTGTTTGTTGTATTTTGTCTTAATAACTATTAAGAAAATATTAATAAAGTATCTCTGAATATTTTATAAACCGTAAAATATAAAAATTTGTTATATTTTAATTAACATTAATAAATAAAAAAAATAATAAAACTTTTAACAACGGAACAAATGTCTTGTGATTTACAGATTGTGAGAATATTATTCGCAAAATGTTAGTTTTGGAACCAAGTAAACGATATACAATATCACAAATTAAAAAACACCGATGGATGGCTGGTATTACAGACTCGTTTCGCATCGTTGTACCCACGATTTCACCTTCCCTTCAGGAACCAAATGAGCAGATACTTAAACTCATGCATAGCCTTGGCATCGACATCGGTCGGATCCGAGAGGTAAAACCCTGCATTCTTTTAACAATTATTTTTTAACAAATTAATCTGTGTGTATTTTTAAAAATATTTTATTTAAAATTCGAATCTTATTATTGTAAAGAAAAAATTTCTTTACATTATGTCAAAATTGTAATTAAATATAAACAATAAATTTTTATTTATTTTATTTTTAGTCATTGAGAAATAATAGTTATGATCATCACGCTGCTATATATTTCTTACTTCTTGAAAGACTGAAACAACATCGAAATCGTACAAAAGATGAGAAATTCAAATCAAGGTACTTTAATACCTCCATAGTTATTTTACGTATATAAGATGCGTATGATCAATAAAAGAACATTTACCATTAATATGCTCATAGATATAAAATTGAAGATTGTTGAGAATATAAAAAAAATAAAATTGAAATTAATTTTTAAAATACATAAAAAATAAATCTGACAATGATTATCCCTGTTACAATTAAGTAGAAACACGTTTTACTAAAAATAAAAAAAAATTTTAATTATACTAGAAAACCATCAATCTTCAAATTATATATACTGAAGAATTACATTTTCTCCATACACATTTTTAATTTAAATTCTTTACATTGATATCTAATTTTGCCATTAAAGTCGGTAAAACAAATTTAAGTGCATTAGTTTTAGAAAGCTGATTTTTCTAAAAATATAATATATTTAAATAACTTTGTACCACTTAACTGGAATCTTCTGACATATTAAAATATAAAATACTCATCTCACCTCTACTATTTTTGTATAACTTTTACTTTTATTTACTATTTATCTTAGGAGAAAACATTATCAACATAAAATTAAAAATTTAAAATAACAGAAAAAGTAAGAAAACCTATGGAAAAGAAACAAAGAAAATTACAAAGAAATTTTATTTTTAATCTTTTTTATTTTGATTTTTATTTGCAGTGATAGCATAGCCTAATATTGATCAGATTGGCTGAGACAAAAATAGTAATGAGGAACTAACAGATAATTGTTGAGACAAGTCAAATTTATGGAATATCGCGGATATCTAGTTCAGTTTTGTGGTAAACTCTTTTTCTTAAAATGACCATCCTACTTCCTTTTTCTTCATAATCCATTATTTTATCTTTATTACAATTTTGAATATATTTTACATAATTATTTCTCTGTTTAGTTTCTACTATATTATCATTTTGTCTTTTATATTTATGATAACAATTCAATAAATAAGAGATTAATATTAATTTAAAGAAATATACTTTTTTTCATGTGTCCTTCATTTTCTCAGAAGTGATATATTTTTTTGTTTTTATAAAATTATATTTATTTAAAAAATAAGGCATATTTAAAAATTTAGACATAAGAGTTATACTTAAAGAACATAATTACACTATATTTAAATACAAAATTTTGAACTAATAATGACAATGAACTGAAAATATATATAATTTTCATGTTATATAATGTTATTTATGAAAATTTACTTATTTATTTTTAAAATTATTCATAGTTTATACGTTTAGTTATTTTTAAATATCGCCATCAAGAATTTTATTTTCACTGAAGCTTCGATTATAAACCACTTCATTCCATTACCTATTTAATTTCATGTTTTTTAATTAATTACAATTTGCTAATAGAAGTTTCAAATTAAAAATTATAATTGAGTTCTTCAAATTTTATAATTTCTTATAAAATTATACATAAAATTTGTTGATAATTGTTATAGATAAATAATTTCATATATTCAAAAATGCGTGGATAGTACGCTTATAATACTTTCAGTTTTTTATGTATAAAAGGATGTGTATTCTTGTCAAAACAAAATTACATATAATATTTAAATTTGCGTAAATATTAAAAAATATATATAAGGACTGGATTAAACTTAGAATGGTCTAAAACATTGAAAATGATATAAACATGACCATATATGTATATTTTAAAATCTTTTTTATTTATTTCATATTTCACCAAAATATAGAATATTATTTAAAATATTATGTTTAAATACATATGATATTGTATATTATTTTATGTTTGAATATGCACATATAATATTTTTATTTATAATGATTCATGTTTTCCAGAATATAATAAAATTATCAAAAATATTTTCACATATCCTAATATCCCTACTATAAACATTATACAAACACAACGTGCCTTCAAACGTACGACTTTCACATAAACATTAGGGCAAATTAAAAAATAATAATTGCTTTAACTACCATAAAAGTAAAGTATGTACTTATTATGCACTGTTTACAGAGTTCGTGAGGAATTAAGTCGTAGCGGAAAGCGCTTTAATTCAACAAATTCATCAACGGATGAAGGTTGTTATAGCGTAGATGGTGAGTTTGAAGAGATGCCTTCCGGGGATGAACTTCGTGAAGCCCAGATAAAACTAGAGGAACATCGACTTGGTCTCGATCGTGATATCAGTCAACGTATTGATAGTCAAATTGTGAACCGACGGCTCAGTGACTACCATCACCAACATTTCAATGAATCAGATTCACCCATACTTGAGTCTATGGACCAATCAATATTAAAAACTTCGACCAATCACAATTATTACAATCATCAACAACTGCAACAAAGTCAAGGCACTGGATGTATGCGAACTGGTAGTATCTTCGGCGGAATAAATAACGATAGTAGTAATGGCGGTAGCTCCTCTTCGGAATTTTTTGAATCAAGCTTTGACTCTGGCTGCCCACCGGATTATACTACCACGTCTAGTTGTTTCACAAGTAGTTTACCATCGTGTACACCACCACTGCCAAAAACTCTTTCACCAGTAACAAGTAGGATATTAAAGATCGAATTACAAGGTAGAAGAGCTTCTGATGGAGGACCACGATTATTCGTTCAACAAGGAGGTGGCGATAGATCTGTTAAACAAAGAAGTATTCAAAGTAAATATCTATATAAAAATGTATGTAAATATCTAAGTGAAAACCATCTATTAACTCTTATTAAGACTTTTATATTCAATTTTAAATGTTAATAAGAAATCAATATAATTATTCATACATAAATATTAAATGTAACAAAAACAATATTCCTTTTGTTTCTACCAATTTTTATAAAAATGTAAATTTATGGTGATATATGTTTTGATTGTAAAAATAATTTACAGTAAACATAAACAATATTAAAAGTCTAAATATTTATTTGTAATAAATAAAAATCTAAAGCATTTTTATTATTATTAAAATTATAACACCATAGCAACCATTAATAAACACAGAATTTAAAAAATATTTTTTACAAGTTCATACTTTGAACATAGCTTAAATCATTATGATTAAAAAACTTAATAAAATATACGATCTGAATTCCAGATTCAGGAAAAGCAAAAGGACATCTAGATCTCGTTCACCTTCGCCCACCAATAGCTTCTCTCCAGTCAGAATCACAATTTAAACTTCGTAGCGTTGATTCTGGAACCCATCTACAACTTATTTTTCAGCAACGTATGCTTCAACAAAAGCGCAGTCTTTTTCACCGACATCGAAGCGGAGGTGAAAGTGGAGGTAGTCCTACACAATTTGCTGGATCGGAATATAATTCTATTTCCTCATTTTCTGTAAGAATGAGTGGTTCTGAGCATCCCCCACGTCAAGAAAATTACAATCTCATGTACCGTACTCCTGATTTTCCAATAATGCTTACCAGTCGGACACCACGCATTCCAAACAGTATAAGTCCACATAAGTATCAGCACTTTCTTCGCCATCATCACCATCGTCGCATAGATGACGATTTTGAAAATAAAGAACACGATGAAGATCGTTGGAAGAGTCTACCTTCAAAACTAGCAGCTGATTGTCAATTAGCTGAACGTACACTACTTTGGAGTCAAGAGGTAACTTTCTTTGTCTCTTTAACCAACTACTATGATTAGTATAATTACTTTTTCTATTCTTAATACTAACGCTATTAGTCAAAATATGTACAAATATTTCGCATAATAGTCACAGATGTAGTAGTCTGATATAGTCACATAGTAATTACAGAGAATTAATAGGATATTGCTACTAAGCTCTTGCTTACTAAGCTCTTATAATGTATCTAGTGAATTTGTCAGAAATTTGGAAAAATCGTCTAAAAATACTATCTCCAACAATTATCTATAATTACTAACTAGTACTATTAATAATATGTATATAATTTCTTATTTTTTTATTGCAATATGTTGTGTTTTATTTTGAAAATTACAATATTCATTTTTATTTAAATATAAAGAGAATTAGATCTACTAGTGAATTATAATGCAAGTATTTTAAATTAACTTAAAAATAAATTTATTATATTTTAAACTTACAACATAAAATCAAAATAGTTATGAAGTAATTTTTATTTATTTATTAGAAGTAATAGATTTACTTTGTTGGATAAAGTAAATAGCTACAATTATATAAAGTATTTTTTATAAACAATACTTCATAACCCATCTGTACATAAAATTGTTCCATAAATAATGATTATAAAAAATCTACCAATTTTTTTTATCAACAAATATAGCTATTATTTTCAATTTTATACAAAATACAAAATAGATATTTTGATTATTTTTTAAATAATATATAATTATCTTAAGCAATTGTAGTTAGAATGAAATTATAATCGATTGGTTTGCTATGCTTAGCAAATAATTAATATATTTAATGTTTATCAAAATATATATATATAATACAAAACACAGATGGATATATATTCGCAAATAAAATCATTTTTATACACGCTAAAGAAATTCCGAGTTTTGTTTACAATTCATCTGCGCGCGCACGCCCACATACTTTTTTTTAATTTAAATAGCTTATAAAGACATGCTTTTTAATCCAAATTATGGAAACATTTTATAAAATTAAATAACTCTTAAACAATTTATATATAATTATATTTTACATGTTTCAAAATTAAAAAATAATTTTTTGTTTACAATGATTTTACCAGTTTTAATTATAGAAATAATTATTTGTACAAATAATAAAAAATTATAAAATATAGATTTTCCATTATAAAATTAGATTTGAATTTTCATTCGAAACTTTATTACTGCTTTCAACTAAGACTATAATAAATTTATTATATAAATTATACATAGTACCTATTGCAATTAATATGCAACTTTTAGTGATCATAAAAAACTGCAAATGAGCAGGTAACAGACCTCAGTGGTGGCGCTTCGTACTTGCCGCCAGATAGTGTGGGAGGCTTTCCGTGGCCGACAAACAGCAATCCTCACTCAACAATTTTTGAAAATAGTGGAAGCGATACAATGGAGTAACTGAGAATGTCAGGGAAACTTAGTCAACTACATAATTAGTATTAGAGAAATCAACAATTCCAAGATCTGCAGATTAAAGAAGAACCTTTTACATCCATAAAATTCAATATAATTTTTAACGATAAAATAAGTAAATATAAAAATTTTATTATTATCAAACCTTAAAATTATTTATTTTACCAATAGATCTTAATATTATTCTTTACCAACTTAGTTATTTATTGCTAATCGGCAAATTGTATCTTTTTAAAAAATTGAAATGATTCTATACTATTTTTTTTTAACTTATAGTCCATATCCCGGAAATGTATTCTTAGTGAATTACTATAATTATTATGAATGTAATTTTTAATATAATATAAAAATATGTTTCAGTTTTAAAAAGAAAAATTTAGACCTAGAAATATTTAGTATTTGGTCTTTAATTATTGCTATTATTACTACAATAACGTACCATAATATCTTAATTAATCGTACATTAACTCAAGAAATATAAATAAAATCATAAATGATTTCCATTTATTAAAAGCTGATTAATTTGAAATTTTCTTAGTGAAATAAAACAAACATCAATATATTAATACGTAATAATAATATTCTGATTGTAATTTTAATTAATTATCGATATAATATTCTGTAATCATAATAAAAGAAGAATATTGTTTACATTATTCTAAAAATATGTAATCAATTATTATCATTACACTTGCTTAGTAAAAAATATGTTATTAGGAAGTTACAGTATCTTTGACGATACATTATATATTAGATACCTATAACTACATATAATTATCATGTAATCCTTATAAGAAAATTATTCAGTTGATTATTTCCAATTGTAAAAGATCAATTTCTATTACCTTAAACTCCAAAGGTGAGCAGTATTAATAAATTACTAGAAGTACAACTTCTAATCACATAATATATTTTCAAACATAAGAAATAGAGCATGTTTTAAAATATGATCAAAGTTTCAAAAGGTATAAATATAATACAAAGCACTATATAATATATAATTTAACTATTAATTTAAATGTATTTTATTTTTTTTTTTAGTACTTTATAAATATTTATTATCATGTTTATAAATATCTTTAAATTTTGCAACTTATTAAGTTCAATAATAAAAGAGATTACAGGAAAACCCATGTACTTGCTCACCTCTTCACAGTATACTATAAAATCTGTTTAATACATATATGCACAATAAAAATACTTAATGTTATAATAAAATCCTAAGCATATTTATATTTTATAATTTATAAAAGCTTCATTCTGAAGACTATTAATGCATCATTTTATAATACATGAAAAATTAATCTGTTTTAGCAATTTTATTATTTGAAAAGTTGGTTTTATTTAAAAATAACTTTAAATGAATTATATAATTGAAAATATTGTTTATAATAATATACTAACTACAATGCCAACAACCACAATTCTTATTTACAATACAGTTTCTTTATTTTAGACATAAAATAATGAAAAGGTATACAAAGCAGTTCAATTGTTTAAAATTAGATTAATAAAATTATTTGTACTAGGCATTATAAATATTTATTTACGTGAAAAATAAATTGACTCTTATTAGCATTGATTAACATTATTTTATCATAATGACTATATCTTACATTATAGAATTTGTAAGAGAGCAGATTTTTCTATGATATACATTGCTTACGTTATATATTCCATCTATTGAACAATTATATTAAATAATTTTCATATATCAATTCACAAATATTATTAACAATGTGAATTCAAATGTTATAAATAACGTTAAAATCACCTAAACATATTATAGCTATTAGTATTATACAAACTACTTATTTAATTATATTATTTTTATATATGTATTTATTATTAAATGATTGATTTATTAAATTATTTTAATGATAGGCAAAGTGTATAAAATAATTTTAACTATATTATATGAAATATTTACTTATTATGTACAATATGTATAAAATATTATATTTTTAAAATTTTAAGTGTTTGTTTTTAAAGTTGATACTGATTCAATTTTCAAGAAAAAAAATGGCAAGCGTCAAAGACTGGAAGAAAAGAATTCTTTATTTAATTACATCAAAGTTAATCCAGCGAAGTAGAAAATAAATGGAAAAGAAAATAAGAAAGCATGTTAACAAAATTCTAAAAGAGAAGGGAATATGTAGAATAAATCATTTAATATTACATTTCACATTACATTATAAATTATATATTAAAAATATTATATTATTATACATTAAAAACGTTGTTTTAGTTTTAGAATCACATATTAATATTAATCAATATTAATTTGTAGTAATCAAGGCAAGTTCATATTGTAAGTCTATAATACAAAATTGTATTATTTTTTACATGTGCATTCGTGCGTGCAAACCCATTTAATAGATTTACAATATGAATTGCAGTGGATTAATGAGATATCGACTGAGTATACTAACTTAATATAATTAATACATTTTAGAAACCATAATAATTATATCTAATAATTATTTATTCTAATAAATAATAAATATTAAAAATCATAGTTAAACATAAGATTCTATTTCTTATTTCATTTAAAGAAATTAAGGCAAATATTTATAAATTCTCTTAATTTTAGAACTTATTTATATTTTTAAATATAATTAATGACTGTATAAATTTTTGTTACATTGTATCCAGGAAATTAAGTCAAATTTAATACTATTCTAAAATAATAAAAATACATATAATATAACGGGTAAATTCAAGAGCATAATTAAATTTATAAATTTCTTTGCTTATTACTACGAACTTTATTTAAAGATATTATTTACTACAAATATAAACAAAATTATCTTAATATCAGTAAATAATATTTTTCAAAAAAAATAATTTTTAAAACTGTGTTTAAACAATATTATGGTTAATAAGTTTTAAAATCTAATAAATTTTTGTCCAAACATTGCTTTATCAATATAACTTTATTGATATAAAATAAAAAAAAATATATTAAAAATGCTATATTATGAAATATACCGTATAATGTTTTTATTTCTTTTGCATATTTATAATACCATATGTAGTTTTTCCATGCACATATAACTAGTAAAATAATAGTATAATATAATCAAATTAAAGTGATTTCAAAATTATATCAAGAGTTGAATACAATAGGAGATTCTTTTCTTGACTTCATGTGTAGCAAATAAAAGTCCCGTATACGTTTGTATTTTACTACAGCAGTGTTTCGACATTGTATCAGAAAAATTAATGAAACATAGCTTACATTAATTCAATTTCTTAAAACTATATAAAAAATGAAATTCAATATATACATTTTATTGAGTCCATGGGATATAAAGATAATGATGCACTTCAAACTTTTTAATTAAAGACTTAAAATAGGATCTAATTTCTTTTATATTTCAAGAAAAAAAAATTTTTTTTTCTATCAAATATATTTTAAAGATATATGTATATTGATAATAAATGTTTGCAACTTTGATTGATAATATATTTAACAATCGTAACATATAATAATATTTATTTTATACTTGATGAATTACGATACCTTTGAATCTTTATATACGAAATGATACTAAAATTTATATAAACACTTGATACGATTGATTATAAATTGATGTCAAAGTTACGGTAGATTATGAATGATTTGTGAACGTTTGTATTCAAAACTCGACATTGTCTCAAAACTTTTTCTTATGTATTTATTTTTAACGAAAAATTATGGAAAATTATAATTTAAGTAATACTTGAATTTAACATAAATAATTATAATAAAAATGATTTTTGTTTGATACAAATAGGCTTTTGAGCTTTTTTCTGTTTTTGTGACGATACTTGATTATTATATTAATAAAATTAATTTTTAAATAATTTGAAAAAATTTATTTTATTTTTAAAAACTATATTATTAACTTAAGAAATTAATTTATAATTTACAAAATTAGTATAAATTCTATACGTTTTCATCGGAATGCATCGTCATGTAAAATCATTACATTAACATTAACTATTAAAAAGGAGTACCACTCATGCATAATTATATAATTCATGTAAATGTAGATTATATATTAACAAACTTAAAAAATGTAATATAAAATAACTTAAATGTTTAAAAACATTTGTAGGATTACTTTTAAAAATAATATTTTATATACTTATAAAATACCATAGCAGATATAACTAAATTTATAATTTCTTATAGAACAAAGATGAAACACTGGGAAATTCAATACATTTACTTTCAATACCTGCTATTTTAAATATGTTTTTATAAATAACAATAATATTATTTATTAATATTAGTTTTTAATAATCAATTTAGTTAATTAAAATCGGCTTTACAGTAGAAAAAAAAATTATTTGTTAATTTATCATTATAACAACAATTATCTTAAATAATTATATTCAATTTATGGAAATCCATTTTTATTGTAAATAATTTATTTAAATTCTTGATATATAAATTAAAATAAAGAATTCATAATTCTGCAAGTAAATTGTTTTTATTGTGAGCAATATCATCAATAATTAATTATTGATTAGTTGTCACAGTTAAATAAATTGTAATAAATTGTCACTGTTAATTAAATAAATTGATACTATGAACACAGAAATGAAATATATTTAAAATTTTCAATGAATATTAAAATTCATTTTAATATAGGTGTCATGTAAATATTAGATTATTGATAAACAATCAGTTCTTAATTATAAATTTTTAACAATTTAATGATCTTTCAAAATATAATGATTATATAATTGTATACTGGAAACAATTATTTTTATAAAGTTTAACAGTAATAAAAAAAATGTATGCATATTTAATACATAAGTTTTTAAAATATATTAAATACATAAAAATTTTCATTGATTTATTCATAAATTAATTAAATTTGTTTATAACTGTTTTAATATTAAATTAAATGTTGATAAGTATTTATACCAATATTTTATATATCCTAAGCATATTTTTGAAATTTAATATCTGTTAATAAATTGCAGTTTTGTTTTCTTACAATAATCCAAAATACTTTTATAAATTTGTAAATATAGCTTTTCGTTTAGTAACTCATCGCTAGAAATCAATTTTTCATTTTCTTCGAAATAATTTATCAATAATGGTAAATAAAAGTACGAGAAACATGAATATTTATAATATTTCAACTAGATACTTGTATTGTAATATATGCATATTATTACGTTTAAATTAAAAATTATTTTAAATTCCAGTTGTATGTTTATATATTGTTATTATTCATAATTCTGACAAGGATTTATAATTTTACAATGACGCAATTCAATCTTAATTAATAATTGTTGGTATATTTGCTAAAATACTACTAAACTTAAAAACGATAATGAAATGTTTATACAACTTAAAATCATAAAATATAACAAAAGCTGATTCCCAAAAACATTCGTAAATTTTTAAAAATATCTCCATAATAATGTACGATGATAAGTTATCTTCAATACTTTATACATTGTAAAGTACCATCGATAATGTAAGTTAATTATAAAATGTAGCAAATATAAATATATACAATTGATAAAATTAAAAATAATGTAATTATTTACTTATGCCTCTCATGTTATAACGTAATTTCTTAATTAATTTCAAAGTTTACACAATTTTTTTATTTCATTCAAAATTATAATGTATCTTATGAATATCGTAATACACAACTTTTTAAAATCACTTTTAAGTAAATTTCTCTTTGCTAACTATTTACTTAATATTTATGTATAATTCAAATTATGTATATATTATGGAGATTGCTTAAATTCTAAATTGAAATATCTTATTTATTATAAATACAAACTAAATATAATACCAGAAACACAGTTTTATAAAATAGACAAATTTTTATTTTAATGTTTCAGATAAAAGTGTTCCTAATGGTAATGTAGAACTTGTATATATATCTGAACCAGGTTTACTTGCTATTTTTCTAGCTTCCTTTATATTAATTTGTTCCTCTTTACTAGGATTAAATGGTTGCCCCGATACATCTAATTTTTTAGTATTAAAATCTTGTATAATCTTTTCTCTATAAATAGCATTAAATAAATCTTTTGCTGTAAATTTTGACTGAGAAACATTCTCACATTTATAGCTAATGTAAGGCTTTAATTTAAAACCTTTTAAATTTGGAACAATTATTTCTGGAATCATTTCAGGAATCTGTAGAAATCGATCATCAACTTTATAACCTGTATTTTTTACTCCACGTTCTAAATTATCAGAGAAAAATATTCATTATATTAAAATTATATATTAATAAAAATGAAACTTCTTATTCTTTAATATTTATTTTTATTTTGAAATAAATTATTTCAAATGATTTGTGTTATCTATAAAATATGAAAAAGAATTGTATACATTATAAATAAAATCATCAAATAAATATTTAATGAAATAATAGTATAACTGTTATCAAAGGTAAATTAAGTATATTTTATTATTTTATAAAAATCCAATTCTTTTCAAATATTGTTTTAAAATTATTTATCAAAAAAAAAGTTACTATTTTATTCAAAATGCAAATATAATTTCTTTAAAATATTATATAAAGTATATCAATTCTTATAATAAATACAATTATTGAAGATATCTAAATTATAACAAAATAATCTTAATCAGATTCTTTGTAATATCCAATTGTTAAAACTTACTTTCGATATAAATCTTTGAATCTGGATTTACAGCTTGTTTTTGTTTGAATAATTTTGTCCCTTTTTTATTATACAATAAAAATTTCGTAAATATTCGTTTTCCATATCGAGATGATGAAGATAAAAATCCTCTTGAAATAATCAAATTTATCATAGTCATTTTGATAGATGTTAAAGACTTAATAATTCTTATTATTTATATTATATTAAATAATAATTTCTCTTGCTTTTTTACAGATATATTAAGGAATATAAATTTGAGTAATGCTTCAATTATCAAATTCTATAGTATAAACGACCTATGGTTTTTTATATTAAGTATTTTGATAGATGTTAGGTTAGAGAAATTAAAGAGATGAGTGTTTAAAAAAAACAAATGAATGAATGAAAACATTACTCTTTTCGTATCAAATTGGTGTAATATAAAATTCGAAATATGTATATATATCTTTTTAAGGGAAATACATTTTTATTATAATTAAACAGCAATACCAATAAATCAACAAATAATGTCAAGAAACACATTGCTATTATTTATTGTTGTTAAAATGCTTTGTAGAACTTGATATTTTATTTGTATTTATTTAGTCAAGTTAGATTCATGTATTAAGGCTTCATAATAATAGCGACAGATTATTTATTTAAATTTATGAAAACTTATTATTATTAAATCTATTACTGAATATTATTTAATAAATATTATATCATAATTACATTGAATATATATCTTGTATATATTTTTAATAAATTATACATTTTTTATACTATAATTTCTTTCATTTTGAATAATCAGTAATTTATATTGTAAATGTTATATTATGATTTTTACAATTTAAACGTTAGAAATACATTTTTGCCAATGCATAAATATTTATATAATATATAGCTATTTCCGTAATATTATTTTAATACATGTATTTAAACAAATATTAGTGTATGTAAAAATAATGTAATTTATAACATAATGTATTCTAATTATAAATTAGGCTCCAACAGAAATATTATTTAAGTGAAATATTAACAGAAATATCTATTAAATGATTATTGTATCATTGTATTAAAATTTTTTAGAAATTAATTTAAATTTGCAAATATTTTTCATTATTTAATAAATTTTTTATTTATTTATTATTTAACTTACAGATAAGTAGTATCTGTAGAAGAAAAAAGACTTTTGTAAAAATGAATTATATTTTTGAGCATTAATAAAATATATAGAGTTTGAGTTATTCAATATGGTTATTGTATATTATATTTGTAGTTTGTAAATGATTTCTAAATTGATTATCTACTTTATGTATACTAAACAAAGTATACTTTTATTTTACAAATTTTTAAAAGGAATATTTTCTTGTATTTTATAAATATTTACAAAACGCAAATTCTTTAGATAACTTAATAACAGAAATGTTAAAAATACCTATACCGTAAAATTAACTTATCTAAATTAGGATTGGGTTCTTTTGTTTGGATGATTTAAGTAAAATAACAATATCCCTTTAAAAAATTTAATTTTTTATCTAAGCTGATTATATATTATTTAAAGTTTTATTTTAATAATTAAAAAAAGACTATTTTTCATTTTTTCATTGAATTCAATTTATTTACGATATACTCGGTTTTCTTTTAGTTTATTGTATATATATTTTCAATGTCATAGGTATATTTAAATCAGAAAAGTTTAAATCTAGTAAGTAACATTAAAGTAACATTTAATATATAAGATAGTTGTTCGATTTTTAATTTATGGCTTATTTTAAATTTATGTTATATTTTATTAAGTAATTCCATAAGTCTCGCAGCAGATTGAACGAGAGGAGGTGTTTGATTGCCTCTTCTGATCTTTTGACCAGGTCGTCTAACGTGTCCGTGTCAACCTTTATCGTTTTTACTGGAGCGAATAGTTTAAGAAAGGCTGAGCGGATTGAGAGACGTTGATTCTTGTACTGCTGAGTAAGTAGCTCCCATGCTGGTAATTGTTATTCGTTGGTTAGTGGGAGCCCCGTGACTAATGGCAATGTTGACTCGTCCAATGAAGTGTAGAGGTAATGCAAATTCTCCACATTAGTGATGTCCTTCTTATTAATGACGAGCGCAGTGAAGAGGTCGCTAAATACATCCCAATCTTCTTGTTTTCCGGAAAAACGTGGGAGTTTAATCGTTAGTAAACGACTTGCGGTGGGTTTGAATGAAGGTGCAGTGGCCGGGTGCTCGGTGCATCCGACCATGAGTTGCTGGCGCAGCGAGCTGATTATGCCTCGAGTGTTGGTGTATTGAACGCTTTCTCTTGTGAAGGCATCTGATGAAATGTACTCGTGGTCCTTTTCATTCGCTGGCCAGATGATTTCCAAGTACGCATTTTCTTTAGCAAAGGTCGTGTGGATTTTCTTTGCTATTGATTCGGAGTTGGAGAGTTCCTCTAATGTAACAGTGGGTGCAAGTGTGGCATATCGTTCAGTGAGGGTCTGCAATAAATTAATGCGCTTAAACTGTGTTTTTACTTTCATTGAAAATTCAGTATTTATCTGTGGGGATGTGGCGCTGCGAAGAGTTTTAGCTCTCGTTGATTTGGTGTCCTTGGGTGTCTTAGTGTCCTTGGCATCTATTGTGACCCCGCTTGTATTGTTTATTTGTTCTGAACTGAGGGGGAATCTCGGATCTCCCGTATACAATTGAGCGGTTACTGGTTCGGAAGGTGATACTACGTGTTGTGTTGATGTATTGTTTTTCTCACTTCAATATAAATAAGTATGTAAATGGACAAGACAGTGAAGATTGTTTGTCATATTTGTTATTGAAGCTCAGTATCGGGCAGACCCGATGATTGCAGGTCACCGGTATGCGTGAGGAGCCGCAGCTATGCGTGGTCTGGCTTGATTCTTTAAATCTGCTATCTGGCGATGAGATTATCCGGCTCAAAGGACCAAATGTTCGATTTTTAACGTTTAAATTTATGGCTCGAACTGCCAATTTAATAGTTCAGTGGATTAATCTCTCGTCATAGTGATTTAGGAAGACAGAAGGCACCAAGGGAAGGGGTGAAAAGTATAATGTAATATATATGAGTTCGATTATTAGTTTCTGCTTATGAATTATAATATTGTAGCGTTGTTAATTACTTCTATTGAGATTGAGAATTATTCTATTGTACTGGTGTGACTTCTTTCTTGAGTTCTTGATTGTTTGAGATTTGAATTGCACTTCGCTAGTGGTGCAAGTGACACTGATGTGAGATGCACTAATCAATAATAATAATAAATACAGAATTACACTGAGCACTAAACTGAATTTATCGTAGAGAACAATACTGAGAACCAGATGTGTGGTGACTGACTAGGTGTTAAAAGTACAGTGCGTAGCGCGTCAAGAGCTGCTCTTATATATTCACGTAGGAGCCTGCGACGCCGACAGCGCACCGATGCCTGTTGCTATGCCGATCATTATGATGACGTCACTAGAATCTATCCTTGAGAATTGATCGGCATTGCTAGTCGGATTAGAGTCTAATATTCGAGTATTTAGCGTAGGGAAATTTCCCGACTTCGCTGAATTGTGTTCCGCTGAATTTAATTCCGCCTTTAACTGTTTCAATTCCGAACATTCCGCCCGCCATGATCAATTTGTTGATGATGAAATTTGTGTTTCAGGAATTGGAAGTACGACAAGTTTATGAACTGACCTCACCATGGTAGTAGCAGCAGTTTTATGTGTATCTACTCTCGTCAGTCCGTCACTACCGGGATGCAATTTGATTTGATTGATTTGAGTGGCCACTTGCTGGGTGATAAGCGTTCATCGGTAATGAGTACCAATGACCCTTCCTTGATATCATTCCGTGGGTGATGCCATTTCGATATTGATTGTTGTTGTTGTAGGTAGTGAGCTGACCAGAGGGACCAAAACTGTTGGACACGTTGTTGTATGTATTGCCATCAAGATAGTCTGGGCATGGGTATTTATTGGAGCGATGGTTCAGGGAGAGCCACTAGTGGATCACTAGTGCTTGATTGGGGCCTTGTTAAGTCTTCCACCGACTCTAATTACTTTTTGATTATCGACGTAGGCTGTCAGTCGACTGAATAGGTGTGATTTTGGCAGTTGATAACTGCGTAGCAATGTCCTCAATTCGTGCGAAAAGTAAGCTGCTTGGGTTAACTTTATCCAGTAGTTCTTGCCTCTTCACAGGCCTCAATGTTCGTTTAGCGGTAGGATAATTGTTACGGATAGCAGTAGTTTCTAAGCGAAATAAAAAGTAGGAGAGGTATGAGCGCGCAAGCATTGCTAGTCGGATTCGAGTATTCAGCATAAGGAAATTTCCCGACTTCGCTTAATTGTGTTTATACGTAAATGTCCAGGTGTTTACTCCTGTCACTTTTTAATTCCGCCTTTAACTGCTTCAATTCCGAACAATAGTAAATAAATTATATGTAGATATTTGCTAAAGAAATTAATTTTGAAAGTATAAACATTGTTTTAAAATATATTTATTTTCAGTTTTATATAATTCATATTTAATATACATTATATTTTTACATTAAATTAAATGTGTCAATTTTATATATGAATTATGGATACCTAAATTAAATGAAATTATTTACTCTTAATCTTAATAAAAAAAGGATTTATAAATTTTTATTTCATTTGATGATTGAAATTTTGAATAAAATAAATTGAATTGAATTTATTTGAATACAGATAATATGAAATTCCTTATCCATCTGTTAGTATTCTAACAATTGTTTTTATAATTTTTTTTCCATGTGGATGGTTCAAAAGATTTAATAAAGGGTCTTCCATTTTTTGTTGTAATAATTTTACCAATTCTGTTCTTGCACACTGTAAAAGTTTTGCTATCTAGAAAAATATTCATAATCATTACTAATTACTAATTATATCATAAATAAATCTTTAAAAGAAGAATTCATTTCGTACTCTATAAGATTCAACTGCAAACATGATCCATCCATCTTCCAATGAAAGTATAAAAGTATCATTATGTAACTGTATATCAATACCAGAACCAGAGAATAATATTAAGCATAATACAGGTACCATTGTTACTTCTTTAATAAATATTCTACTGGTTTTAATTTTCTCTTGGAAAATTAAATATGGACTAGTATAAAAACCTACACAGGAGTTTATTGAAGATGGATGAATATTAACTTTTCCATCTTCTTTTGTTTGATAACGTAGTTCTTCAGGCTTTGGCTGCCGTGGAATAGCTCCAGAAAATTGCATTTGAAATGATTTTTCAGGAGTAAATACTTTTACTACATTTGGATATAAAGCAGCACAAAGCAAACCCTGTAAGAGAGTATAATTGTCATTGTTAACATTAAGTTCAATACCTGTACATTCAAGAACTTTGTCCTGTCCTGTAGGATATTTTTTTATGTTAACGGGAATAAAACCTATAGAGACTAGTAATTCCAATAATTGATGCTTAATGTCAGCAAGAGTTTGCAAAGTTTGTATAGATAAACAATTTTCATGTGCAAAAATTTGTCTAGCATCATTACCTCTTGAATTTATTTCTATCCATTTCTGGAAATATGTATTTAATATTATAATAATGTTACATACATGTTATGTAAAATGTTAATTATGTTAAAATATATTTTTAGAAATATATATGAATTAATAGTTGTTTTATAATTTCATTATTTGGATCTTATTTTTGTGCAATTTACCTTATATACCTTTAAAATGGTCAAATGATCAGAATTTCCAATTGCATACTTTTTTTTTTTTACATTGACTTCACGTTTCTTCTCAAAAGAAGTAACGAAGGGATTTTTATATGATAAACAAGCTGCAATAGTAAGAGCAGAATCCACACAACAAAAAATAGCTCCAAACAATATTAATTTGCCTATTCTAACATCAACTGGTAAAGCTGCTAAATGGTGCCCCAATGGAGTTAGCATACAATTTGGATCAAGTGCACCAACATTTTGCAATATTTTGATAGCAGTTGAAATACTATTTTGGGAAGGTGGCTCTAGCATCATTTCTAAATATTAATATTAACTAAATTTCTTTATGTAATAACAATTAATAAAATATTTTTACTTAACTATTATTAATTACATAATTTAATATTTATTAATTAAACATCATTCTTCCAAGATTTTTTCAATATTATGTCATAAAATATCAATATATTTTATTTCTATTTTTTAAACATAATTTTTAAACATAATATAATGTAATAAATATTTTTAATGAAATTATAATTTTCTTTGTCCAATAAAATATATTTATAAGAAAATATTAATATTTTTCATTAAAATTAAACACAATTTAATATAATTGAAAATCAATCTAATAAATTTTTTGTATACCTAAGCTTTTATACAGATCAATATTATCAGCTTTGTATAGAATTTTAATACGAAGAAGCAATGGTTCCAATGAAATTCTCAAGATTTCAGGAATTGGTTGTGCTAGAAAACTATGCTTGAACCTTCAATTTAAATTTAAAATATTTTATTTTATAAATAACATAAACTGCATATAAGCTAAAAATATTTATACCTAAATGATGTGTAAAGATGTATACAAATTCCTGGCATTGTCCTACCAGCTCGACCCATTCGCTGAAGTGCATTCGCTTGGGAAATCCAACACATTTCAAGGCTTTCCATATTTTGATTTGAATTAAAATATGTTTCTTTCATTTTTCCAGTATCAATGACAAAAACACAATCATCTATGGTTACAGATGTTTCAGCAATATTTGTACTAAGTACTATTTTTCTAATACCATCTTTAGTTTTTTTAAATACTAAGCTTTGCTCTTCATTTGACAAAGATGAATGGAGAGGAATTATAAGGTATTTTCCTAATTTTTGAGACAGAATTCTATTGTCTTTTAAAATGTCTTTTAAGAACATTATTTCAGAAATTCCAGGTAAAAAAACCTTAACAAAATCAATAATAGAGAATTAATATGTATAGAAATTTTAAGTTTATAAATAATTTTTATTACCAATAAAGAGCCAATTTGTGGATAATTATGACAACCATCAACGATCCATTCTATTACCTTCTCTATCAATTCAAAATTTATTTTCTCATGGTCCATTATATACAGATTTTTATGAGTTATCATAGAATATTTAGAATATCGTCCAACTATTTCAGGTAATGTTAAATTTTCATCTAGAACCTTATCTTTTGGTATAATTGAAGTTAATATTTTAGGATTGGATTTTTCTACATGAATATTTAAAAGTTCAAAACTATCTTTAACTTTTCTAGTATATTTTGAATCTTCTTGAAGAACATAATTAGAAATTTCCATTATATCTTCTAAAAAGTATTGCTTTACAGGAAAAATTCTACCTGGAATATCCAAAACTGGAATTTTGCCAAAATATGTAGAAAATATATCAGTTGTTAATGTTGCGCTCATTAAAATTAATTTTAAGTTTGGTCTTTGTTGAAGAAGCTGTTTTAAAATCATTAATAAGAAATCACTGTAAAAAATTTCATGTAATTTAATTCAGAATTTTGTATTCATTTATACTTATTAATTCAATTTAATTATCCAAATGCATAAATATATTTATCTATTATACATTATTTTTAATTTTTACCTTTCTGCATTTCTTTCATGAACTTCATCAATAATTATATGAGTAACAGATTTTAACTGTGGATCGGTAGACAATCTCTGTAGCAAAATTCCTGTTGTACAGAATATTAATCTTGTATTATCTGATACTTTACTTTCCAATCTTATTTGATATCCAACCGTATCACCTACACATTCGTTTCTTTCAGCAGCCACCCTTTCAGCTACTCCGATTGCACTTATTCTACGGGGTTGAGTGCAAATAATTTCTATATGTTCATGTTCTTTAGTCGCATTGATAATCCAGTCATCAAAAATAAATTGAGGAATCTTTAAAATATAAATTATCAATAATTTTATTAATATATTGTTTTAACTAACACATAAATAACTAAAAATATATAATAAATTATTTATATGGTATTAATTTAACCTGTGTACTTTTACCACAACCAGTTTCACCTGAAACTATTGTAACTTGATTTTCATAAATAATTTTTAATACTTCTTGAATTTTCGTCCAAGCAGGTAGTTTTCTTCTTGCTTCCATCATTTTTAAATATTGCAAATTTTTTTGTTTATTGATAAATTTGATTTTAATTTGATTATTTTGTTTAATAATGTTGCTTATTGCTATTTCATTACGATTCTTTTTATTTATTGAACCTTTTTTATAATGTGAAGGTCCATCATTTTCTTTTTCTATAAATTTTGGAAATAAACATTTGTATTGATCTAAAAAATATTCTTTATTATTTTTTAGATAAGAATGAATTTCATGTTCGTTTTCTAATAAAGAAATTAATGAAAATATATATGGTATTCCATTTTCACAAAATACCAAAGCTTCATTATATAATTTTCTTGCTATTCTTAAGCAATTTAAATTTGAAAATGATGCCTCATTTGTATGTAGATAAAAATAAGGAGGCTCATATGGATATTTACAATCTGTAGAAACAAAATTAAAAGATTTTTATTTGATACATATATTAATAATTCTATTAATTATACAATATACAGAATTAAATATATTATAATATATAGAATTAAAAATATGTATTATTATTTTAATACAAAAAATACGTTATTTTTACCTAAATTTATTCTTATAAAACTTATTTTGTTAAACTATAATCTTTTATACTTTATTATTGATAAATTTCATATTTATTTTAATTATATTAGAATCAGTTATTTTAAGTTTTATACAAATATCTTGCCTTCTGGGAATCTGATCTCCAAAATAAAATAAGTATCTTTTTTTGTTTTAGATTTTTCAATAGATTGAGGCTGTTGATGAATATATCTACACTTGATTCCAAACCTACATTTTCCTTGTAAATAAAGTCGACATATATCTTTTTGAAATAAATTAGATTTATTTTTAATATTTTCTTCATTCTCATTAATTAAATAACCCAATTTCATTTTAATAATCCAAACTTGGTTTTTTATTTTTTCTATGAAAGCATCTCCATATATTGATTCAAGAGCTTCTTTTTCTTCAGTTCTTCGTTGAAGTAGATCATTTAAATCTAATTTATTTAAATTTTTGCTTTTTGGCAAATTTTCAATTTTATAATATTTACAAAATAATATTTCTAAAGCTTTTCCGATTTGACCTTCTGCATGTACCAATGCTTCAACACAGTGAGAACTATGAAAACTGTAGAATTGAATAAATATTATTAACAAAAACATCAATATTATACATAAAATAATTAACAGAAATTAAATTTACGTTTTTCTTAATTAGATACTCCATCAGAAATTGTCTTAAATAAAATGTTATTCTTATATTTACTAATTACCGTAATACTTTATCAATGCTTTTATAATATTGCATTAATTAAGTATTTTACTAAAGGTATATAAAAATATATGAAAATATACATTATTTTTGTAGTTAATGTTAATAATAAATTTATGAAAAATACGTAAGAAATTAATTTATTATAAATTAAAATGTTTTTTATATACAAATGTAAAAAGAAATTTATAAAGTAACTTTAATAAATTTAAACAAACTTGTAAGTTTCTAATTTTGATGTGGCAAAATTTCTTATAATTTGTTCATAAGTTTGCGGATCTTTCTTTTTGGATGAATAATCAGTTACACCTTTGATAACTAAATTACCACGCTGAAGCCAATATTCTTTTCCTAAATTAGTATTTTTATTTTCAAATTCATAATGGTCAGCAATTTTAAAATCCTACAAAATAAAAAAAAAAATTCTATTATTATAATTGATAAAAGTGAATAATCAATACAAATATATAAGAGTATTGTTTGTACGTACAGATCCACAAATTTGATTTAAAGTTTCATAAAGTAATTTCTCAGATCGTTCAGACAGTTGCAAAGTTTGCATTTCCACTTTCAAAGTATGATGATTTGGCTCAGATTTTAATTTATTCTTCTTACTTGAATTTGAATTTGTATCCCTTATTTGTAAAGCAGAATTTTTTATATTTGATTTTAATTTACTAACGTAAAAAATTTTCATTTAAAAAACAAATTAAATTAATAATAAAGGAATAACTATTAGAAATAAATTACAAACATATATAGTGAAAAACTAATAATAAATTTAATAAAAAATGTTATACTTTGTTTATCAATTTTTTTTAAATATAAAAAGATTAATTCAAGGAATTTTTTTGGTAGATAGTTTCATTTATTATTAAACTTTAAAGTACTATACAATTAATATTAACAACTAAAAAGTAATTTAAAAAAAAAATCAATCTAAAACTAAATTAAGAATAAAAAAAAATAAAAAAACAAATGTTTGAATATCAAACTCAATAGATTCAAAAGATTATTGTGATACGAATAATTATATTTTCACAGCAAATTCCATGGAATACTAAGATAAAGATTATTTTAAATAAACTTGAATATTGTAAAATAATTCATTTGAAAATTAAAAAAATATATATTATTTCTAATACAGTACAATTAGATAAACTTCAAGATTTAAAAAATTTAAATGAATCTACTAACTTAGGATAAATATAATATTTAAATTTTAGAAAGTTTAAAAATTAATTAATAAAGAATAGAATAAAAGTAATATATCTAAATTTCAAATTAAAAATATTTGAAAAATAAAGAAAAAAAATAAAAATTTAAAAAAGATTATAAAAAGAATTAAAAGCTTTGAGATGATAGTGAGGAAACAAATTAATATAATCAAATATTTGAAATTTATTGAAATGAAGAAATAAAATATTACTGAAAATTTACTTATAAAACATATATTCTTTTAATTTTTATTAAATCTAACGTAAATTATCACTTGTTTATTCATTAATTTCATACATTATTATACATTTTATACATTATAGTATTGTAATTTGAGTTTGAAAAACAATTTAAAATATTGTTCTAATTAATTAATTTGTATTATTACAAATATCATATAACATTTCGATATATCAATAGAAATTAATAATTTTTACATTGAACTATTCCAGAAATGAATAACCTCAAATAAATTTCACAAGAAATCCATTTATTGGTTGTATGGACAATAAAAAATAACTGATATGAAAACAATATATTAAATTTATGTTATAATTTATAAATAATAAGCCATTGCCATAATAGATATTTAAAGTATATTTTATAAGAATTTTAATGTTTTACATAATAATTATTAATTTCATTATCATGTACTTATTTTTATAATTATATATAATTCCAAATATGTGTGTGCATGTGTGTAACTATTTTCAGAAATATAGTTTTTTACAATTTTTTAGATTCTATATAGGTTTTTCTTATATAATTATTAAATTTGAAAAATAATATAATAATTTACCACTCAAATTTATAATTTATTTCTATTCCATAATTTATTATATATGTTAACGAAACCAATTAAATAATTTTAGATTCATTACATATCTATAAATTAAAATGAATTTTAGAAACAAACATTATAAAATAAATACTTTGTGAAAATATGCAACGATTTTTTGTTTTTGTTTAATTTAATCTTAAATTTAATTTTATTCTAGACTTTTATATATAACTTAAATATTTTAATGTAGTGTATTAAGAATTGAGAAAAAAAATTAAACTTACAAATTTTGTTTAGAGTCTTCTTTTGCCACCAAAACTATATCATCTATTAATTGAGCATTAGAATAATCCATGTTTATCAAATTGTCTATTTAGAAAATTTTTCAATTTTCAAAGAGTAAATCAAATTTTTTTTACGGAATTTAAGGAAACGACTTATACATTTCTACATACTGTATCAACTTTATTTTATTATTAATACTAAACTTTTATAATCTATATTAGATATATATTCTAAAGAATTCTGTACATAATTATGACAAATTGAATGTAAAGATAGGTAGTATATTACTTGTTCGTTTAATGATTAACATTTTTAAAAATTAATACATAATAATTACAATATTTAGAGAAACAATAGTAAACATTAAAAATGTTAAAAAATAATTTATTTGTTTCAATTTTTATTTAAATATTTAATAATTTTAAATCATATAATATTTTCCTTGTACAAATTATATATGTTTGTAAACACTAGCAAAGGAAAATAAATCGTTATTTTAAAATGGCCGTCGGAAGTTCATTTCATTTCCTTATCGGTTTTTGGAATACTTATGTACATAACACTTTTTTCTTTTAATATAAATATATTTCAATTCTACAAATTATTACGTTAAAGCATAAAAAGGTGTAAGAAATCGAAAATAAATATGCACATTCAAAAGTGCATGAATGCCATTTTAGGAACATTACATACACAACCTCAATCTCTCTATTGAGTTTTTCTCTTGTTATGAATTTAATCTTGTATTGAATAAAATACATTTTGATCATTTGTATATATTATATATTGTACATATTTTGTAGTAATTAAAGTGAGTTGACTGATTTGCAACATATACGTGCAATGAATGAAAGTACGAAGGTAGGTGAAACTAATAGTGGAGAAGTTGCTAATGGATTTCTAAGCTGTAGGGATCTCAGTGATATCGTACCACTTTATACTGCACAAGGAATTTATTTAAAACCAATTGCTAAAATTTGTGTATCAATTAATCTGCCGCAACTAAAAAGTCCAGGTAAACAACATAATACAGTAGTCTTGTTAAATATATTAATAAATGCCACTTTTACTTTTATTACTCGTTGACCAAATTCATTATATATTTTATTTAATTCTGCTAATCTTATGATTTGAATTCAACCTTTATATTTCTAGTTTCTTTAAAACTGAAATATTTGAATATAACTTAAAAATTTGTTAATATTAATATATTTTCAAAATGGTATTAATACCATAAAGCAAGATATTAGCAAATTCTGGGCTACGTTGCTTCAAATCACTTGAAGATTATTGAACTAAGCAAAAAAATGCAACGCAGTCTTGATTTTGATTTAATTTTTTATTCAGTAGTATCAGGTTTTACAGAGAATTACTACAATATAAATAGGAAAAACAATATCAACATGGGAGGTAAAGGAGAAGATATACTTATTGATACGACCAGACAAATTTGCTTCACTCAAAGTGATCAAGAGTACATTAGAATTTATCAAATTCGAGGGAGATCTTGGAGACAAATCCAAGCTTCAGCCAGTATTGGCAAGACTTGATGGTCAACGATTTAATTTAACAGGTTTCCCAAACGTCTTAAAGGTAATTATTATAATAAATATATAAAATTAAATAATTATGTTTCAGAAGTTTTTTTATTTTCTTAGAAATTATTTTCATTTTACTCACTTAGTTTTACAATGTTTGTAACTAGGAATAAAATATTTATATCTTTGCAATGATTTTAGAACTACTTTAAAACATTGTTTTACAAATATTGTTTTTTATCATTACTTTAACTGAACAATGTTTCTTGATCCTTTATGTAAATAGGTCATATGATCATATTTTTTTTAAAAAGTTGAATTTTATTTGAAAATAATGGAACAAAGACATATTCTTTAATGAGTTATCATTAGTTTATATATTTCATTTTCTTTTATTTAAAATAGTTTAACTGTATCAATAGATACAGTTATAGTTGATTCTTGAATTGTTATAGTTGATATAGTTTTCGATGTTTATATTAAATAATTTGAAAAATTTCCTGTTTTCAATATGATTAATTCTCTTAATGGATGGATTAATAAAATATAAATGAAACTATTTAGTTTTAAAATTTAAATAATTTATTTAAACAAAATTCACTTTCATTTCCTATGTAGCCTCATCTATTAATTGAAAATGAATAAATCTTTTAAATTTATGTATAAACTTGACTTTTAAAAATTCAACTTCAATAAAATATATTTTGAAAAGCAGAATTTTAATTAAACATAATTTTTATTAATTATTATAGATTATACGATCGATTATAAATAAATAGAATAAAATAAATTCTTTATTTAAAGGTCAAAGCCGTCGAGATGAAGGATGAATTTCCAACAAGACATTCCTGGGATTCATACTTCCGAGATGCTAAACATATGAATGAATTAAAGGCAGGTGAACGACCTGATACTATTCACATATCTGGTCTTCCTATTAAATGGTTTAGTGAAGATAATGGACAAACTCCTAGTGATATAATGATTGCTAAAATTTTTAAAAAATGGGGTATTTTAAAACGAATTGATGTTCCAGCAGCAGATCCTTACAGATCTAGAATGAGACTTGGAACAGCTATACATAAATTTAGTTATGAAGATGGTATTTTTTTTGATGCATTCATACAGTATGTAGAATATATGGATTTTGTTAAAGCCATGGATGCATTGCGAGGCATGAAGCTTCTTAAAAAAGAAAAAGAAAAAAATCATTTAGTTGCTTCTCTGAAGGTATAATTTACCATTTGATTTAAAATTATGTATAAAATAAATATTTTATTTCATTATCGTTTATATAAAAATATGCTTATCAATATGTATCAAATTATTAATAAATATGCGATGTTAAAAGTATTGAAATTAAATTTTATAATCATCATTTCGTAAATACTTTATTACTTGTTTTACTTTTTTTTATTTGTGTTAGAGAATTTATTCTCTAAATAAAAGCTAATAAAATAAGTTATTTTATTCAATATATTAAATCAATCTGTTATAGGTTGATTTTGATAAAACAAAACACATGAGTGATAATTCTGTATCTCACAGAGATTTTGAAAGAAAGCGTCTTATAGCACAAGATAATTTAGTTGCTGAAAAATTACGTCGAAAAGAAGAAGCGGAAGCTAAAAAACGAGAAGAAACACAGTAAGTTGTATTTTAATTGTAAAAAATATACTCAACACAATAAATTTATTTTATTTATTATAGAAAAAAAGAAGAATTAGATTTAAAAGGAAAATACTGTAGGCGTAGCATAAGAGAAGACAAAAGAAGGCGTAAAGCACTGACAGTATTTCGAAAACAGGAAGAAGATAAAGTCTCATTAAAAATTGCTAGAGAAGAACGGAAACTTATAAAAGCACAAAGGCAATTAGAAAGTATAAGATTATTAGATGCTTTATTTGATAAAATTAAGGTATCACAGTTTCTCTAATTAATTATTTTCAAATTATAAAAAAACTATAAGACCATTTTTTCTAGATAAAAATGGAAAAGCATGAAATTGATATTAAACCTAAAATGACCAGTGATAAAAAAAATGAAAAATCTACCGATACTCTCAAAGAAAACATAAAATCTTCAAAAAAAAAATATAAAAAGGAAAAAATAAAAAATAAAAGAAAACACAAAAAAGAAAGGAAAAAAAAAGTAATTATATCAATAAAACTAAAATATACATTAATTCTAGTATGTTAAAAACTGAAAAATATTGAATATTTTTAAAGAAATCCATTTGAAACAATTTTCATATAAATTTTTATTTAAAATATATTTTTCATAATATTTTTGGTTAATATAAAAAATATCTTGTGGTATAGTATTTATAAAAGTGTGTGTGCGTGCGTGCACAGGCAAATATATATATATGCATTCACCTATGCTCGTTTGATTGATATATTACGTATGCATGCACGCTATACATTTATTTTACATGAATATTATATATATATATTTATTTATATATACATTTTTATCTATTTTATAGAAAAAAAATACCTTCGACAATATTACAGATGATTCGGATTTCGATAAAAAGAAGTCTAAAAATGTTACAGAAAGAAATAGTATTGACAACTCCTCTAAAGGTAATTTAATGGAAAATTATTCATTTTTTCTAAAATAATTATATGTTAACTGTAATTTGTTTTAATATATAAATTAATATTTTTTAAGTCAAAATAAATTGAAAATGAAAATCAGTAAACAAGTGAACTATAAATTTAAGATAATTAAAAATATTGATCTACAAAATAATAATGTATATATAGAATATAAAATATTAGCACTAATTTAAATATATATGATTACATTTTATATTTTATTTTTACTTATATCTTTTGAATAACTAATAAAGTTAAATATTTGTTTTTAATTACATATTTCTTTTAGCATTATATTATATTAATATTTATCATAAGCAATTTTATATTGACAAGTAATATTTAATTAATATCATTTCATTTGATTTGAATGTAAAAATTATAATTATTGTTTAAATCGTATAAAATTAAAATTAATTCTGATATTCAAATGCGATATGTTATTAAAAATCAATAGAATTCCATTTTGACTTTATTCATTCTGCAATTGTTTTACACAAACCATAATATAATGTATGGATTGATTCATAATAAAATATATAAATTTTAGTATTTATAAATAAATTATTCAACATATAACTTTATGATTTGTATATACATTATTATGTATATACAAATAATATTTTATGTTATCATTTGTAGACTCATTATGAATAAATATCAATTTGTTTGGTAAACATAGTAAAATTTAAATGGTTTACATAATTGATATAGTTTAGATAGTAGTATATGGAAAGTATTGTATATTGTATTGAAAAATAATTTTCATATGCTTTATTTCAGAATCACATCTGCCTTATCCAGAAATTTACCAAAGACTGACTCCCCAAGCTTGGTATTACAATTCACCAATGCCACTTCTTTATCCTCCAGTTCGAGGCTTATCGCGTGGAGATATAGGTCATAAAAATGGTGTCCGGGGTCGTAGTCGTTGGCAAAATAACGTTGATAACCTCCAACAATTCAATCCGCACGAGTATAATGAACAATATTACAAGTATTTTGCAAATCTCGTTGGCCAAGATTACCATGCGTTTATCGAAAGCGATTACGAAAGAACTGACTCAAGCTCTCATTCAAGGAGTCGTAGAATGTCTCCCTCAAAGTCAAGATCAAGATCACATCTAAGGTGCAGTAGAAGCTGGAGTAGTTCAAGATTGTATTTGAAAAAAGAAATGGGATTGAATGCCAGGAAAAGGTACAAACGAATCTTTATCTTTTATTATTATTGTTTTAAAATGAAGTATAGAATATTTTTCAACCTACTTTCTTTGGATAACAAAGACGTTAAAATAAACGATAAAAGTATTTTTAATCACTATTATTTAATAAAAATTATTTATTGTATTATAAAAAATAGTATATTACAGATTAATTATAATATATAACTTAAAATGATTAATTCCAAATATATATGAATTATATTATTCATCTGAAATTATATATATAATAAATAGAAATTTAATACATAGTAGTACTATAAGAATAAAATAAAAAATTTTAATTTCAAGATCAAGATCCAAATCTCGATGTTATAACCGTAATTATAATCGCTCGAGATCACGCTCCAGGATATATAAGAATGGTACCAAACCAAGAGAACAATTCAAACAACGGAGACGACGACACGGAAACCTAATTAATACTGAGTCCCCTGTGCGCGTGACTCGCGCTAAATCGCGTAGCATCTCACCTCATTGGAAGTCTCGTAGCAGTTCTTGGTCATTGCCAAAATCGCCTAGACAAAGAAGTTGCTCATGGTCAAAGAACGTTGATAAAAAAGAAAAAAATATGTCAACTCCAAAAACAGTAAAAAAAGGTGTGGTCATTGTTGATACAAATTTGACAAAACCAGAATAAATATTTTTATTGCTTATTTAGTTTATTACTGTATATTAATAAGTCTAAAATTGCTTGTTTACTTTTTTATTTGTTATTTAATAATGAATTTAAATACAATGAAGGCAGACTATTTTTTTTTTAAAGTGTTTCAAATTAACTGTATATTATAAATAAGTAAGTGATGTATGTGTTTGTGTAAAATAGGAAGAAAATGAACAACAAACTTGAGTGAGAGAATACAATAAAAATGTAATAAAAAAATACTACTCTTTGTAATAAATAAAACAACGGTATATTATAGACTTATAAGAATAATAATAGTATATTGCATTTATAGTAATATTATTTTCTTTTTTTTAAGTAAAAATTAGTTTATATTATTATATTATAATTCATTTATTTTCAACACTAGTACCATCTATAGGTACCCTACTGCAATCGATAATGCCTGAACAAATTTTAACTTTTGAAAATAATTTTCTATTTAAATTTTTATTCATCATATAGTAATTTATAACGAAAATAATTATCATAAAAAATATTAAGATAATATTTAAAGATTTACAGATGTAACTGTATATCTATTAAATATAACTAAAATTATACTTCTAAGAATTCATAAAGTATTTTTATCATGTAGGCGTATTAAAGTACAGATGTTTTAAAAATTTAAGTATAGAATATTTACTATAAAAAATATAAAAATATATTATTTATATAAAGTAATTAAATAAGAATTTTTCTTTAAATAAAATAATTTCTTGTTTTCTATGATATAATATTTAAATATAATTATTTATACAACTATTCCAAATTTGTAAGTAATATTATGTGAATAAATTTTGCCTGGATATAAGTTGTTTGAAGGATAATTTTTATAATTTAATGGTTTTTGATATTCTTGAGCAATAAATGCAAAGCATCCATGTCTTTTATAAGGTATTCCATTTTTACCAATTATTTTTTTTTGTAATTTATCAACTTTATTTTGATTTTTATCCTAAAGAATTAAATACTTATTACACACTTTGAAAACAATTAATATTAATAAAAATAGTTTATTTACATATTTGTTTATATCTGGTGGGTTAATTTTCTTTGAATTTGGTAGATCATTTCCAGTGTACAAATATAATGATGGATGATTTGAATAAACTTCTAAAAACCTACCAGTTACTGGATGTAACATTCTATTACATAGAAAATAAAATTATTTTTATAAAGTATTTATTAGTTTTGTAATGATTTACCTTGCATGGAATTGATAGTACCAAGTATTGCTAGAACTAGCAATACATATATTATGACTATATCCCCCACCAGCTACCTTATGCAATCGTTTTTTACTTAGTGTTGAAGGATAATGCAAATTATATTTTTTATAAATTTTGTTAATAAAATTTATCGAAATATCTTTCACAGTATTTAACTGCAATAAGTTATTTGTATTTATTGTAACAACATGACATTTTAACTCCTTCATACCCATATCCTACAAAATAAATTTGAAATAAATATTATATTACTTAAGTGTTTGATATGTTAAATATAATAAATATAAATAATGATAAACATACATGTCCAGCTAAATTAAAAAGACAGTGGCTTTCGACATTAATATGCATTGGTTTTGTGCTCATCGCATTTATATCAACATGCAGTTGATTATCGTCTGTCCAAGTGTATTTTACCTGAATTAGCAAATCACCAATGTATTTCTTATTGCTCTCGCAATTGACATGCGTCATAACCTGTTTAAATATACCTTGTGATACATCAGTTTATATAATTATCTATCATAAAAATATGTGCAATATATTACCACTTGCTCGCCTAAAATATATGAATCCCAGTTAACTATGTCAAATAAACAATAATGGTCTGCATTTTTATTAGGTCCATATGAGAATTTGGTAAGTGGATTTAATACTTTTCCAACAATTCTACCAATATATCGGTTTTTCAAGTATCCTATATAAATCAAGTTTTTTATTTTATCTAACTTTATGACAATCATATATATTAAAGATATATACTATATATTCAATACATATTAGTATCGATACTATAATTTCCTCACATATATTATATCTAATTAATGGTTGAATTTCTATATCAATTTTCTACAAATTGTATAAATATGCTAATTTGTACACTTTAATCAAATTAAAATGTGACTAATAAATTGTTATTTTTATTCATCTTTATTTATATTAGTACAAAATTGAAAAAAAACAATATATTTATGTTTTTATAAATATTTCTATTAATAAGATATTAAAAATATACAGCTTTTCAATTATTGAAATTACAATCAGAAAATAAAAAAGAATTCATTTATTTTTAAAAAAGATTAACATAATGAAATAATACTTTTGAGTTTCATTATTCTTTTTAATTGTATTTATTTATTTATAATATTACTGACCAGTTACATTATCAAACCCAAGAACAACATCAGCGATATCACCATTTTTATTTGGAAGTGTTATAGATTGTATTCCAGCTCCCAAGGTAATTAATTGAACGCAAGCATTATTTTTATTTTTAATTGTGTATCTGTAACGAAAATTTTATTCAAGGAATCCAGTTTGGATCCTAAAAAGTTATTTTGTCATAATTATATTGTTAATTCAATATAAAGGAATTTCTTTCAATTGATGATATTAATCTCATTTTTATTTTATACTTTTTTGTATTTAATTATTTTAGTAAATTTTAACCACGAAAATATACATTTAAACATAATTATTTTCTAAAAATCTTAAGTAAATTATACTTTTATAACATCTATGATTTTATTTCTATTTTTCAATTATATAATTAAAATTATAATTAAATAAAATTAAAAATACTATGCTTCCATGAATCTGTAAAACTATTAAAAATATATTAATTTGTTTATACTATATTAAAAATTCTCTTAATTATATTCTATATATATATATATATATATATATATATATAAATGTAACCCTAATTTGTCTTTTCATCAATATAAAAATTGGTTTTGTACCTTCGTATAATTTCATGTGGCTTATCTGGTAATGTTCCAAAATTATTAACTTCAATACGAGAAAATTTTTTCATACTCATACTTGAAATTTTTAATCAACACAATAAAAGAAAATTGTAAATTTACAATTTTATATTATTTTTATGTATTATTTTTCAATTTAAATTTAAAGCGTTTGGAAACGAAATTGGAACTAGGATATATATAGTTATTAAAAATAAAATCCCTAGTTAGGAATATAAAAGGTAAAAAGGGCCAATTAGAATGTTTTAACCTCTTTTTATACGTTAGAAATTTATCAGCTGTGACATAAAACAGATTCAACTCAAAATTTTCAAACAATCTCTTTTCTATTATATTCGTGCATTTATTGTTATTTATTGGCTTAATATTATAGACCAATGTCTACTCATCATATTAATATTTTATTTAGTAAATTATATTATCATTGTGAGTACAATAAGAACAAAAAATATTTCAAACTATAGCACTTTAAGAAATAACAGGCTAGTGATGTCATTCTTTTGTTTTCCACTGTATTTTTTTTATGTTAATTATTTTTTGCATTTCTGCTGTCGTTAACGCCCCTGTATAAATTCATTGATTCAAAACAAAAAAGTATAGAGGTATCTATATGCCATTCTAACCCTTTTAAAGTATATATATGATTTAAAATATGCATATTGATTTATTTTGATATGAGTTGTAAAAACCATATGCATCAACAAGATGATAAATAAATATAACAATCATAGTATAAGATCATATAAAAAGTACTATAATGGGTTCCAGATTAAGGTAAGTTTTTTTTCATATTAATTATAAAACTTTATTCTCTTTTGAACCTAACATTCAGTTCTATAGAACTCTACCTATAGTAGAAATATTAATTATTTTTGAAAACATTTTTCTTTTAAGTAAAAAGCAAATGCTATAAAAATTATTTTATATATGTATTTTAAATATTCAGTCAATACTATAAATATTCATTATAATATACAAAGATAAGTTATTTTTATAATTTAAAATAATGAATATATATTATTGTTACAAATTATTTATAATAAAAGGTTAAACAGTTTGGATTTTTAATAGAAATCCATTTTCTATATTTCTTGAAAAATATTTTTTTTGCTATTTTATTGAATCTGTGATGAGTGTATAACAGTTTTGTTTATATACTCAGTATTATTAAATAAAAAATAATTTATGTAATAATATAAAATAATTGTTATAGTTGTAATATAAAAAATTATTATAGGGAAAATGTAAAACAGTTATTTGAGTGTTTTTGTGAAGTAGCTCAAACAAATGGAGAGAAACAAGCGTGGATAACACAAAAGTATCCTGAATCATACGATGATTTAGAAATATTAAAATCTGTTCCTAAATTTGCTTATCCATGCGAAGTAGAAAAGTAAACATTTTATTTAAAAATATAATTATATATAGATTAATATTATAATATAATATTCTTAAACAATATTTAATACATTTTTTTTAGTTTTGTAGTACAACATTTTTCATTTGTACTTACAAGTATAGATTCAAAATGGACATTTGGATTTTGTAGACATGATCCAAAAACAGAAACAGCTTTAGTTGTTCTTAGTGCTTTACCATGGCATGAAATATTTTATAAGTGAGTTTAATTATTTACAATATGTATTTTACTAGCAGTTTTCTTTTAAAGCAAAATAATATTTTATTTGATAGATTATTAAATTATATAGCAACATTAACCACTAGTAAAAATGATACAGATTTATGGAAATTTCTTAAAGATACTTATGAGGCTACTATTCCAATTTCAGGAGCATCAATCAGTATTTTATTACCAGATTCTAAAACTGTAAGTCTTATAATTTAATAAAGAATCTAAAATAATAAATATGATATAAAATTTATGGTTGGAACAATAAAAAATTATATAGATAAATTTTAAATAAACCAGTCTCTTCGTTTTAAAAATGATAAAGTTTGACATAATTAATTAGTTAAAATAAAGAAAAATAATGTACAGATATGAAAAAATAAACAACAGTAGAAACATAACTTATTAATAAAAATTAAATTATTAAAATTGATTGTATCAAATTTTGTATTTATTTGAAAATAATATTTTTAACTTTGGCATATATATATTTATAATAATATTTATTAATATATATTTACAATATTAATATTATATTCTAAGTCTTTTTCAAATCTTTATAGTTAATTTATTAATGTAAAATAATTGAAACTATAGACATTCATTTATCAAAGACCAAAACAATTCCAACTGCCAAGTATACCAGAAAATGTATGTATTTATTTAACAAATATTTTTAAAAACTTGAAAATTTTAAATAATATATTAAACATTTTTAATTGTAGAGAAATTTGACAGAGTATTTTAGTGCAGTTGATTCTCATAATATGATGATTATATTTTCCTCAATGTTATATGAAAGACGAATTATTTTCACATCTAAAAGATTGTCCAGATTAAGTGCATGTGTGCAAGCTTGTAATGCATTAATATACCCAATGATTTGGCAACATATATTTATACCAGTTTTACCTTTTTCATTAACTGATTATTTATTAGCCCCAATGCCATTTCTAATTGGAGTACCATCACCAATACTTAAGGTATTGTTCTATTATTTTTATTCATAAATATAACATAAGTAACTTAAAAATTTAATATTTCATGCATAATCCATATTCAAAAAAATTCATTTTATTATTAACATCTTTACAGTAAATATATCAGATTAATAAAGCACTATTTCATAATTTATATAAAATATCTTTATTTTTAAATTAAATTGCTTTATTTTTTTTTGTATATATAAATGCTTTGAAAAATATTTGTTAAATATACAAATAATAATTAAATAATAACTTAGTATTATTTATTAGCGTGTTCGTCAAAATGATTTAGGAGAAGTTGTTATTCTTAATGCAGATGATAATACTATTAAATCTCCTTTCCAAGACTTGGAATCTTTACCTCAAGATGTGGTTTGTATAAGATATTTGATAAATATTAAAAATTACTTCAATAATATATTATAAATAGAACATATAATAATGAAATATTTGTACAATTATCAGTTTTCATTCTACATGGAAGCTATTTTTAAATTAATGTGAATATATTTTAAAAAGAAATATAATTTGTAAAATTTAAAGTACATATTTTCAATGAATTTTTTTAAAGCAATTAACTCAATTATTTTCTATTAAACAATTCGATAATATTAAGTAAATATTCATTTTATAACGTCAGATATAATATGTTTCTTAATTTTAGATTTAAATAAATATTTGCACATAAATTATTTGAACTATTTTTGACATATTAGGTAACAAATTTAAGAAAAGCATTACGTAATCGACCTGCTCTGCTTGGCGATGGCGTTTCTAGAGCATTTTTACGAGCTTTAGTTCAATTAACAGCTGGTTATCGTGAAGCGCTTACTTTACAACAAGACCAACATAATGACCATGTACAAATAACTTTTGATCAAGAGGCTTTCGTTGAAAATCGACCTATTTCCATGCAACCTTTTCTTAGGAAAATGCTGGAATTGCAAATTTTTCAACAGGTCTTTGTTCTTTTTTATATTTATTGTAGCAAAGAAATTTTTAAATTAAACATTGTTAAATAATAATGAAAAAACATTTTTTAGTTAATAAATATAAAAAAATATGTTTTACGTTTGCTGTTTTACAATTAACATTTTTAAATTTATAATAATACTGTTTTAAATAAAAAATATATATTTATTATTTTAGTTTATTGAAGAAAGGTTACATATGCTGAATTCAGGGCTTGGTTTCTCAGATGAATTCGAAATGGAAGCTTGCAACTATTCCGATAAGTCTGGCCGCAAATTTATGCAACAATATCGAGAGTGGACTTATGCTATGCGTAAAGAAGGTTCTGCTTTCATTCGTAGTGTTAAAGATAAGGTCAGTTATAATATTAATTTAATTTGCGACTATTTTTTATTATTTATTTTATAGCAATAGAGGTATTATTTATTAGATTTAATATTAATATAATTTTAGTAGATTTAATATTTTACAAATATATTCATTTATTAAATATCATAAAAAAATATTATCATTACAAAATTTGTAAATCTAAAATTATAATATCGATCATTCATTTATTATAAATGTCAAAATAAATTTACAAAACTTCTATTTGAGTTATATATGTTTTTAATATATTTTTATTTTAATAAAAATGTGAAAATTCGCTTTATTTAAATTATACAGATAAAAATCATAATTTATATTATTAAATGAATTAAATATTTATGATTATCTGAAAATTTTAAATAATCTTTCTAAAATAAGATTTTTAATATTTAATATCAATGTATTATTAATCATATTAAAATTTCAATCAAAATAATTAATTTTGTTTATCTTAATCGATATTCTATATATTCTATTAATAAAGACTAATTTATGAACACTTTTAATAAGAAAATTAATTCTAAAAATAATAATCTTAATGTATTTCTTAAATATCCTCGACCATTTGCTTAATTGTAAACTTACCACTATAATAATGATAAGATTATTAATGCAGTATAATTATATATACCTTATACTTATATTTTAATTCTAAAAGTTATTGTTATAAATTTTAATTATTTTTAACTAAATGTGTATAAGATTATTCTAAAACCATTAGTTATAAGTGAAAATTATTTCCAATTATCATATTACATTATATTACATTATTACAAATTAATTGTTTAAATTTAAAAAAATATTTTTTCAAAGAATATAATTATATTTTTATTTTCATTCATAGGATTTTACACACATAATTTTAGATAATAATAATGAATTTAATTTTAAACCATATAGAAAATAGAAACAAGTTGGTTGAATAAAAAAATTTCTTACAAAAATTTTTAAAGTATTTTAAAAAATATCAAGTTATTCTTTTTAATCTCTATTTATTATTATTAAAATTTATAATGGAGTAATGAAAATAAATGAACAAAATTTTTCTTCCACGAGACAGTATTATCATATCTTTTAATTCAAAATTTAATTCAAAATGAATATATTATAATCATTTATTGAAATTTTTGTAGGCGAATCCTGCTGTAAAATATGCTGTAAAATCGGTAAGCTGAATAAAATCTTAAATAATTCAATCAATAGATCTAAAGTAATGTTCTTTTATAATGGTATCAGGTTAGAGATAAAGGAAAAGATATGAAGACAGTTTACAAAGGCCTTAGATGGAAAAGTACATCAAATTTTGATATAATATAATAAATATAACATAGCTGATAAGTATGAAATGTATTCATTAATAATATTATTTTAGATCGCGTTAGTAGAAACGAGAGTACTATGCGATTTCATCAACCTAGATCTGCTCCAAATTCTCCAACACTAGATAGAAGGTCCATATCTTTTTCTTCTTCAACTATATCTTCTAGTGGCCGTACGCCGATAACTAATTACCGGAAAGATCTTCGACTTCGCAGTAGTAATGTCGAAACAAGGTGATAAATGAATGTTTGATAAATAAATAATATTTATTTAAAACTTATTTATTTATTTAAATATACTCAAATAAGTTTCTTTAATTATAAATGTTTTTAAATTAATCTATATAACCTTTCGTAATTAATATTTTAAACATGAGTTCTTTTTATAACAAAATGTATTGATTAAATTTTCTATAGTAAACATATATTTATAAGCCATTAAAATTTGAATCTATATTATATGTGTACTCAATTATTTAAAATGTACTTAAAATATTTTATAGTTTATTAATGTAGTTTAACCTCTGAAGATACATTTTTATTAATTAAATAATCAAATGGTTTATAAAAATTACTTTTACTGAGTTATCTGTCTTAAAAAAGCCAAACAATAAATATTCACAAACAATAACATTTTTATTATAAAAGGATACATATTATTGTTATATATTATATATATTTATTATAAAATTTACCATGAATAGAACTTATTCCATTGAGATTATCGTTATTAATTTTATTAGTGATTCAATCTTTAATTACAAGAATAAGGTAATAGAAATACAATTATATAATTGTTTATTTTTCCATTTTATTGTACATAATTTAAATAAGTAGAAATATGATTAAAGCAAAATAAAAAGGATGGATAAAAATGTATCACACTTTTAAACATTTAAAATATTCTAAATTAAGTAAATGATTAGAAAAGATTAAGTATTAGATATTAAAGTAAATTTATTCAAATTATGTAATAACCTTAAAAAATAGAGAAAATGTCAGTTATTCCAAGACAATTTATAATTTAATATATAATGAAAATAACAGATAAATACATTTACAGTAGAAAGCAGTACACAACACTAAATCCTAATTTACTGGATGACCAGGATTCGCCACCTGAAAGAATAGAAATCGATCTTATGAATGAGTTGCATGATGTGATCTTCCCTAATATGCCTGCAGTGGACAGAGCTGTAAGTGAATATACCTTAATGACAAAGGTAGAAATATATTACTTTACTACATTCTTACAAACAATTTTATATTCAATATCTCGTAATAACCTATTATTAGTTTGTCTATCATAATCATTACTATTTCATTCTTTTTCATTTATGCTGGTTTTGTTTTACAAAGAATGCATCTTTATCACCTTGCTGTTGACGCTATTTTAATATTTTTAAATTATCATTTACACACATGTTTCTTTTTTTACAATAAAATGAATTTAAGCATGAGATATATTATTAATATACACAATTACTAGCAGAAAGAAAAAGTAGTGAGTATTGAGCATGTTATGGATAAGAATTTTATTTTTTGCTTTTTTTATAAATTTATTTTTAAGAAAAAGCTGCATTACATAGTTAACTTTGGTTCTTATGCTTATTATATATTAATATAATTTCGAAGGAACAGTAATAAGATTCATTATAACAGGCTATTTGTAACTGATAAAATCGAAAAATATCCTTTTTCATAATGCGTCAGATTTTGTACTTCGACATGAATAAGGTAATATAATGATATATAATACATGTATGGTATAATATTAGCTGTAACATCTAATATCAATACACATGTAGAACAGTATTAACAGTAACAATTACTATCAATAGTATGTAATATTATATTGTTTTTGATTATTTAAATATGGATAATTTTATTTATATTTTATTATAAAAAAAATATTTTTATATGTCGAATTTTAAAATCACGCATAGAAAGTTCAACAAACAAATCTTCAAGCTTTGAAAAGTATTTATTTTATAAATTTGTTCTCTGATTATATATATATATATGTATATATCATAGTTTTTCATAAATTATGTACATATAATTTCATTGAAACAAAGCTCCTAATATAGCTTTCATTTCTGTATAAAATACTAGATATGTGAGTAATATAAATGTTGGATTTTTCAGTCTCTTGCAATACAATAACTTGATTTAATAAAATAATTTATGTGTCCAGATTATTATTATAACAGTATCAATAGCAGTAGTAGTAGCAGTAGTAGTAGCAGTAGCAATTAATATTAATAGTAGTAATAAATATTAATAAACTTTTCAAAGTTTTAAGATTGGATATACCCGTATTTAAAATAGTTGGTATAAATCTAAAAATTATAGTTAAGTGTGCGTGTTATTACATCACCTTTCAGTTGAAACCAGTCTGCAGTTTAGAGAGTTTGAGATCTGCATGGAGTGGACATTTGCGACATGGTCCTCCACCTAATCCTATTCCTTATGAACATTATCAATTCCCAAAATGCTTTACATCTACAGTCATAGTCCCTGAAGACCTTCGTTTTCAAAACCCAACTCGTCCACTTCTCTTTTCTTCTCAAGTTGTATCAGGTAATACATCTCAATTATACAAACAAAATAATAGTAGCACGAACTCTCGAGAGATGAAATCTATCAGCTCAAACTTACTTAAAAACAAGACTCCCTTAATTCAACTCTCCTCTATTCAAATGAATAGTGATTTGAGTAAAATAAAATCTTTCAATATCTCAAATGAGTCCGTCAATCCAACCAATCTTTCTATCAAACGAGAGAATTTCAACTACGAAATGCCCAATGGCAATTCAAAGGTAAACAGGGAGTTTACGATGCATGAATACAAGAATGGCAATAAAAATACCAATAACCTTGGAATAGAAAATCCACTTGTGATATATTCAAAACCTAGTATTATAAACGACATTTTTACATATCAAAACATAAGCAATCCTTTCAGTACCAATCCATTTTTTAATTCATTTCCTGATCTCCTATTTCACATAGAAAACCATAGATTGCCTGTCGAATCACTTTCATCATTAAAACATATTGATTCCTGTTCTACACATCCAAAGGTAAATGTTCTGGCATTTTTATATTTTAAAGCACGTTTGCAATTAATTATTTTTAAAATTTTGTTTCATTCCTTTATTGTATTATTGTAGACAAAATATTTAATATATTTTATACATTTTTTAGTAATATATTTTTATGATTAAAAGTATTTTTTAAATAATACTGAGTAAAATGGAAATTGTCAAATATGTATATATGTTATTTTTAATTCAAGCATCTAATTAATTTTAATAATATAATAGTCAATTTTGGTTTCACAATAATGTAACTATAAAATATAATAATTCTTATTAACTGCAATAAAAATTAGTTTTCACTAAATTAGCGTATTAATATTTGTATTTTAATGTGTATCTAAACATCATTAATATCTGTCGAAATAGCTAAAAATATAAAATATATTTTGATATAAAACTCTCAAACGAATTCAAAATTTACTATTATGGATAAAAAAATATACTCCATTATTAATAGATATGTTTATCATGAATTTTAAGCTATAAATTTCATTTAATATTGAAATAATTCAATAGTCACTGGTAGAAATTATAGATAAAATTTTAATCTTGCAGAAAATTTGTAGTAATGTATAAGAGAATGTAACTGTCAATTATTAAAAAATTTCTATTTTATATTTATTATGTCATAACCTATTTTAAAATATGAATTTTTAAAATTATTTTAATGTAGATAAAATTTATGCTGTAAATTAAAATTTTCACAATATATATATTATTAAGATATATGTTTAAAAATATGTTGTAATAGTATTGAATTATTATTCTGACTATTTAGTATTACTATTACTTAGGATAACAAAATTAATTTTATTCTAAATAATTACATCATTATTATTAATAATAACAAAATTCCCTTTTCTGTTTTCCCTCACTAAAATATATTGGAAATGAAAGGTTCATCATCTTTTCTGATGTATACCAATAAATTAATATCAATTTATTTTAAAAGTAGAAACAACTTGTATTTCGAATTATGATATTTATAAATTTAAAAAAATTAATATTGCAGGCTATCTCATCAGATGTACAAGATTTGATTAAACTAGATTCATCAAATAATGACGATTTTGATCCATTGCTTTCAAAGTCATCAAATGACTTACCTGATAGCAATATTTCTAAAAAAATAAGCCAGTCTCTTTATGTACCGGAAATGAGCGAGGGCTTAAGCAATCCACTCTATCCATATTTTACTCCGCAACAATACAAGTCAGAGTTTACATCTTGTATTCAAGTATGTATAAAATATTGTTTGTTTCTCTCCATCGTACTTTATGCTGTTAAGAATGTGATTTCCAAAAATGCAACACAAAATATTTCCTCATTTTATACATTTTTTCATCTAACTTTGATACTTATTTTTAATGTTTTCTATAATTTAGCCTAAGGAATGTGATGTGGATCTGCTGCAAGAATATGGTCTGGATTTTAATAAATTTAATTTATCAAATGGAAATTTAAATACAGATAATACATCATCCTCAAAGATGAAGTTACAGTCAAAACAGAAGTCAAATTTCAATAATAGCATTGATAAAAAATCTTTTGACGTATCTTTTAATACATCTCAGCAAACCATAAAATCACCAAGCAATTGGACCAAATTTGATTAAACACTATGTTTGTTATATGTTTGAATTTTTTTCAAAATTTTTATTAAAAAATGCTTATAAATTAAAAAATAACTTTCTATAATTCGTTAAAATTTGAAATACATAAAATCAAGTTAAATGCAATTAATAAATATATTTTATTTTATTAGTTTTAAACAATTTTATATAAATATAGAAACAATAAAAATAAATATTCATATAATTATATTTTTAAATTAGTTATTAATTTACAAAAATATACAATTTTAATATGAATCTTAAATTAATTTAAAATTATTTTTATTGTTAATTTTTATAATTTAGAAAACATATATTCAATAAATCGTTATTACAATTTATTAATTTTATTATATTACTAAATTTCAAATTGTATCAATTTTTACATAAATTCATTTGACATTTCCAAATTAAATATCCTATTAACTTTTAAAAAGTTCAAGTGAATATTTATGTATTATTATCTTTTTAAATATTTTATCAAATGCAATATCATTAATAAAAAAAAAAAATTTCTATTAAAATAAAACATTGCTTAACTCAAGTCAGATAGTTTCATTAATATATTAATTGTAATACTTGCTGATTTATCTTTTAAAAAAATTTAGATTCAGTTAAGATAGACTAGAAAATTTATCCACCTAATAATATTCTTCTATAATTATATAATTTATTATACAAAAAATTAAATATGTATTGTTTTATTATAAAATTTAAAAAAATTATATTCTTTTAGTTTATTCTTAAATATTTATATTAATTAGCAAAAATCACAATTTTCTTATCTTTCAAAATAATTATTAATTAATATTGAATTATAATTATAATTAATGTAATACAACAGGTAAATTGTTATTAAAATATATTATAGTTTTTATAAATTTTATACTTACATACTACTTTATACGATAATAAAAATAAATACAAATTATTCATATATATATTAGTGAAATCGAATTAAAATTATAAAATAAATTATTACACCTTCTTTAGTTTAATTGCCCTTTTTACGTCAACTAGATATAATTAACTATATATAATTAAAAATATATTAATAAATTAAACAATTGTTTGCTATATACTTAGTACTAAGTTAAAGGTAAAATAGTTTTTGATATTTCTTAATTTTTAAAACAGAAACAGCATTTTTATACATCTAGTTTTTTAAAATGGATTTATTTTGACGAGTAATTTGTTTCAAAATTACAATAATATTTATTGAAATTAACATTTTATAATTACAGTACTTTATATCAAAATTTTTGTAAAAGAAATAACATGTAATTTTGAAGTTTGTATTAAAATTTTTTATGGTAAATTGATTAAAAGAAACATGGATTACAAATCACAAAAAACAACGAAAGTAAAATATTAAAATAATAGATATATTTTTTTCGTTTCAATAAATATATAGTTTAATAAAATAATTGTCTTTTTATTAGTTAAAAAATTGAGCTCCTACTGAATCAATAAACAATTCATTTATAAAGTTTTCATTAATGGTTTATAATTGAAATTATTTGTATCAATAACCTTTTACATATTAAAACAATTATTATAATTTTTATTATAAAAATATCACAATTAGTAGTATATTTATATGATTTTCAAAACAAATGAAATAAATATATAAAAAAATTAAATCAGTAATTACAAAATATGTAATATATTTTTATTTCTACTATTTACTACTACTAATTTCTACTAGCCACAATTGTACTCTTTGTTTTCGTAAATAATACTAATTAATAAGTTTTCAAAGAATAAAAATCATTTTAAAATAATTGCATAAACAATTTTTTTTACTGACTAAAATCTTTTTGTGACAATGTCATCTTAGCTTCCAATTTATATTATATCAAATAAATTTTGATACTTAATGTTATCAAATATGGATCACTATTCAAAAATGTTATTTGAAAAGAAAGTATTATATTTAATGAGAATCAATAAGACAGTACCTGATTCACAGAAAATTATATTACTGAAAATGAAATATTGAACTCGATTTTGCATTGCATTTTTCCTTTTTTTATGATAAATTTTTAAAGAATATTTAATATAGTTTATATATTTTTATAAATGTAAATTTTATATACATAAGTATATAATATACATAAATTATAAATGCATAAAATATACATAAATTTTATATATATTCATTTTAAAAACATTTTATAGCCATTTTACTCAATATTATATTTGCATATATTATTTAAATAACATGGTTTAAATTATGATTAATTTACTTAAAGAAAACAGGCCCTGAAGAAAAATAAAAAATCGAATTTGGGATGCTGACCAAGATCTTTGGTTAATAATCATAATGAACTTTATTAAAAATCGTATTAAAATGTTATTTAAAATCTTGTATTAATTTACATTGATTGTAGAGCTTGCATTGCTTCAATTAATCTCTGTATCTCGCCTTCACTGCTAGCTAATTTTTCTTTATCTATTACTTGTACATTAGTAGGAACTTTAATATTGTAATCTGTAGATAAGATAGTTTGTTTCAACTTCTGTACTGTTTTAACCAATTGTGCTTCTTTTTTTTTTAATTTATCTAGTTCCTTGATGGGATCGATTAAGCCCTATTTACATTATAAATTTAATATCCAATTTTAAATAGGAATAAAACTGTTTAATCAATACAATTTATCATTGAAATATTATTCAATTTAAATATATATCAAAAAGTATACATACATAATTCTGTAAATTTTTTATATTAAAAATTATTTACTTTAAGAATAAATTATTAATATTTACATATTAAATAATTATAAATCCTAATATAGATGTATTGAGCAACAATTTTACCAAATAATTAAATATAAATATATAATAATAAAAAATATATATATATATACTTAAATATCTATTTTTAAATTTATTTTTATTCAAATTGTTGAAATTAATTTCATTTGTAAAAAAATTTTAATTATTTGTTAAAATCTTACATTTATCAAAATAATTTTAATTACACAATTGATCTAAATATTTTGTGAATTAAACAAAGTTGGTGTTTAAATTATAAATAATATATTTTAATAATTTAGTTAAATTGTTTAATTTATATTTAAATTTTTAATTGATGACCAACTAATTTAAATAATGTTAAAAATGTTATTCTATGTAGAAAAAAAATTATGTAAGATTTCCATATATCCAATATGAAATATTTATGAATTTTCCATTAAAAAAAAAACATTACCTTTAACAATAGATGTATCTGTAATTTGTCAGAAATTGTTAGGATTACACAACCGACTGGAGGCTTTTCTAAATGGATAATTGAGTATGCCAAAATACTAATGACATCAGAATATTTAAAAATCTTCTCAGTACATTTTAGATCATGACAAGCAACATAAATTTCTGTCTTCAATTTATTTGGAACATTATAGGTACCTCGAGATGATCTAATACTTTTTATAATTTTTTGAGCAAAATCTATATCCCTTTCCAAATCTTCATTTCTCCAACAACACTGAATGATTAGATTGTATTAAAATCATTTAATGTTGACTGAAAGTATTTGTATTAGAAATTTTAAATATAATATAATTTTTGAATACTTGAAACCATATGTATATATACAAATTAATTTGATTAATGTTATTGTATAATAATTGTAGTGTAAAACAGAATTAAAAAAATTATTATATCAATTATTAAGAAGTGACAAACATGTACCTCAGTAGATGTCGGATATGGACAAATACATATACTGGGATAAACTAAATTGTTATATGGTAAACGTTGATACAGTTCTTCTGTAATAAAAGGCATAAATGGACTCAATAATCGTAAACTTACATCCAAAGTTTTAAATAAAACACGTTGAGCCGTTTTTTTCTGTGGTTCATTTTCTGTCTGAAAAACAGGCTTTAAGCATTCCTTAAAATAAAAAAATATTAAAATTTAACTAAAACATTAACTTTTCACTTTATTTAAAATATATTTCATATAATTGTATGCTACTACTATTTTTCAATATTTGAATATTCAACTTTCTCTTTTAGAAATAATACATTTAAGATAATATTTTCTTTGAATAATAATTACTTTTTTTTTTAAAGTATTAAAATAATTTAAATTATAAACAGGTAGTAAAAATTATACTTAATCTTCACTTTATAAAATTATATAGATTCAAGGAATAAAATCATATTATCATAATATTATGAAAATTGAAAAAAATTATTTTTAATCAGCTTATGTAAAATGATTATATAATATATATATATTACTTTTTAGAATTTTAATTCATAAAGATTTGAATAAAATATATCATTGTAAACCAATAAATTCATATTATTTCATTAATTTTGAATTTTAATTAAAAATACAAAAAAAATATCTTATAATTCATTAACCCAATTTTTCCAAAATTATTATGATCTAAATTTTTATTATCACTTTAGATATAAACATTAATCTCCAGTGATAAATGAAATTTTTGTTTAAGATATTGAAAATCGTACCAGATATACATCACATAAATCGTATAACCACAAATTATAACAAGCAGTAGTTGCTGCATTAAAATCATATCGTGTAAATGCATCATCGCAAATTTTAGTGGCATTGCTCACTCTTGAAAGCATCCATAAATCAATGTTTGATTCATTTCCAATAAACTGTAAATATTAAATTTCTTAATCACTTATTAATATACACTAAACAAATATAAATAAAAAGAAACCTCCAAGTTTTGTCTATTAGAAGCAAGACATATGGCATGTGAACTATTAAAGAGTTGAGAAATAATTATTAAATTAAGAAAATTATTAATTATATTTAATAAATTTAATTCAAACATAATTATTCCTGATGTTAAATTTCAGTTGATTAATTGATCGTGATTTAGTAATTTCATAATTTTTATTTTGAATAACATACTATGTATTTTACTTAAATATCAATACTATTGAAAAAATGTTAAGGTAAAATGCTAGAATGAATAAATTATAAAATATAGACAGATTAGTTAAATATGCAGCAAATTTAAACTCAAATCCATAAACACCATACCATTGATTTCATAATATTATAACTGTTGATTCCACTTGTGGAACCTCTCTATACAGTTAAAAGTTTTGAGTTAAATGTATTACATAACAAAATGCAGTTTTACCATGACATCAAATATCCTCACATCTCAATGAAACTTTACATATCTTTCGGGTGAAGATACAAGACCATTTAATTAAGTCTATTAGTGTGCTTTCTTATTTAACATAGAAAGTTTTAGGGTTTATTTGATTTTATATAAGGCAAAGCTTTTGATTAACAAATTTTTTATTAAATTTTTTTTAAAATCCAGGTACTTAATTTTTATTATATGTTTTTCATAAAAAATGATAAAATACAATTCACTTTAATTAAATACTGAATATAACCGATTAATAACGTACGCTCAAATTAATTAATAGTAGTTATATTTTTTTTTTGTATATCAAATTGATGTTAATAATTAATATTGATCAATAGTTCTCATTGAACCCATTATCTGTAACCTACAATCAATTATCAAAATATTTATAAAATAACCATTTAGTCAGAACAAAAAATTTCATATTTTTAAATTACAAAAATGAGAAGTTTGTATATATTATATAAATAAAAAAAAATATAATACATAAAAATATAATAGTAATTTTAAACCAGTATCCAGATAAATTAAAAATGTCTTTCAATTTATTTATCCACATTTATATTTTATATAAATGTTATATAAATATATATAAGAGATGTATAAAAGTGTGTCATAATAAGTAAAATACTAAATTTGAAAAACATCAAGTACGTTCTTTATACTTTTTTTAATAGATTATAAATTATATTATTGTAACCTAAGTAATTTTTTTTTATTAAGATTAGAATATGCAAATGAAAATTAAAAAATGATTTAATAACGCTATTAATAATCATTAAATATTTAAAATTTGAATTATGGGGCAAAATTAAATTTAAATGAAAATATATTAGCAGTCTTATTGTTATGGAATACATATGATTATTATATTCAACGTCATATATCGGTTAGAAATTAATATAATGTATTTTTACTTCAATAACAGAATTACATATTGTGAGGACAATCTGATGAAATTAAAAACTGAAATCAAGGATTCAATAAACCTGTCATGAAATTATTAGGACATTAAAATTATTGGTAGGTGTCCTGAAGGATTACAATGTTTCTACATAATATGTTCTTAATTCTAATTTTTTCATTTAAATTGACTTTGTTTTTGTAAAATAAAAGAAATTAGAAAAATAATTTTTTAGTATATAATACTTTTGAAAGAAATATACCTTAATATCCTCAATTTCATCATACTTGAAATTGTTACCAAAGTATGTTAAAGCAAATTTTACGGCATTCCATAGCTTGTTACAAAAAAATCTATATCCTTGCACCCTCATTATATCTAAATTAATATCCCGTCCTTGCGAAGTGTAGGCACAAAGAGCAAAGCGTAAAGCATCAGTACCGCACTCAGGTATACCTTGCGGAAAATCACGCTTTTGACTTTCAATTGCCTGTTTTAACTCCTTTGGTTCTAAATTGGACTTCATTAACTGCTTATGTAAATTCTTGATAAAGAAATAAAATACAATTTTTTAAAATAATTAAATCAATAATCAATTTTTTTTATAAAAGTTGTAGTTTCTGGATGTATACATAAATTTAAAAATATACAATCTCACTATAGCCATTATTCTAAATAAAAATAGTACAAATAACTTCAAATTAAGAAAAAACTATGATTTCTCTAATTTAAAAAAGTTCACTTGTTTAATACAAAAATAGTACAAAATTTATATTTACTATCCAAATAAAAAGCATATTAATGTATTAAACAGCTTAATAATTTACCTCTAAAGTTATGCCATGAATTACATCTATTGGATCTATTACATTTCCTAAAGATTTACTCATTTTTCGACCATGAGAATCCCTTACCATTGCATGCAAATAGATTTCTCTATGAAACAAAATAAGATTTTAATATTTAATCCTTAAATATCTAAACAAAAGCAAATTAATTCTTAATTTACTTAAATGGTAATTGCCCTAATAATTTTTGCCCTAAAAATACCATCCTTGCTACCCAAAAAAAAAGAATATCATGACCAGTTTCCAAAAGATTTCCAGGATAGAAAGTTTTAAGATCTTCAGTCTATAAAATGACAGAATTACAGATTTTTTTTAATTTTGAAACATTTATAAAAAAGTATAAAAATATATACCTGATCAGGCCAACCAAAAATTGAAAATGGAAAAAGGCCAGAAGAGAACCAAGTATCTAATACATCTGGATCTTGTTTAAGCTTAATTTGATCTTTATTAACTCCAAATTTTATGGCTGCTTTTATTTTAGCTTCTTCTTCTGAATGTGCACTGATCCATCGTTCATCGTCTGACACCTTAAAATATTTTCGTTATTTTACATGCATTAGTTTACGAGAAAATTAAAAATTACAACAATTATTTATATCTGAATTTTATTAAGTTGATTACATTTATATAATTATTAATTCAAATTAAATAAGATATTAATATATACAAAATAAAAATAAAATTACCTCTATGCAACAATTATCAATAGAAACAAAAAATGCTGGAATACGATGGCCCCACCAAAGTTGCCGTGAAATACACCAATCTCTGATACCCTCCATCCAATAATACCATTTTTTTTTGAATTGTTCAGGAATTATTTTCAATTTTCCACTTTTCACAGCTTCAGCTGCATTTTTTGCCATATTATTACATTTAATATACCTGAAATGTATTATAATATAAAATATTTAAATAATTTTATTTCGTATTTCTACTTTACCATTGAGGTTTCACAAGAGGTTCCACAATATCTTTGGATCTGCTACAAATAGGTACAATCATAGGGTTATCTTTAACTTCAACAAATAAATTTTTATCTGTTAACTCTTTTATAATTGCTTTTCTAGCATGAAAACGCTTCATTCCCTTAAATTAATTATACACAATATAGAAATAATTCAAATTAAAAAATATATTATAAAACTTTTTTTTATACCGAAAAAATTCCATAATCTCCAATAATATTGCCATCATCGTCGAAAATTGTAATAAACGATAAATTATGTTTTTTACCAATTTCATAATCATTAGGGTCATGAGCAGGAGTTATTTTTACCGCGCCTGAGTAATTAAATTATAACTTACCATAAAAGTAAGAAAAATATGATCAGTTATTTAAAAAAGTAATTTATATTTACCTGTACCGAATTCCATGTCAACATAAGTGTCGGCAATAACGGGCAACATTCTATTACAAAAAGGATGTTTAGCAAATTTACCAATTAAATGTGAGTACCGACTGTCATTTGGATGAACAGCAATAGCAGTATCTCCTAGCATCGTTTCAATCCTAGTAGTTGCTACTGTAATTCTATCAGCAGAATTATCAATTTCATAAGAAAATAATACCAAAACACCAAATTCAATTTTATCTTCATATCCAGGAACAGAAAGTAATGTTTTACAAGTCAATTCTATTTTATCTACCTTAAAATGATTAATTATGTAATTTTAGATAAATAAATTAAATTTTTAGATTTATGATAAAGTTTCAGTTTTTTTCTATTACCTCTATATCAGAAATAGCACTTCTTAATGTACATGACCAGTTAACAAGCCGGTTGCTTCTATAAATTAAATTATCATCATGGAGTTGAATAAATGCTTCAGTAACAGCTCGAGATAATTTAGGATCCATTGTAAAACAGGCTCTTTCCCAATCAAATGAACTTCCTAATTTTTTCAATTGATCATATATTCTATCACCTTTTCTAAATTTTAATATTATACATATAAATATCATTGCATACAAAGAAAAACTATGTGAATTATATGTAATTGATAATAGTAGTTAAACAAAATTTTATTTTCTTTTATTTCTAATTTTTTTAAATATACGAACATTATATTATTAACTATTATATTATAATCTATAACAAACTATAATATTAATAATCTACTATATAAATAAATTACATATAATAAGAAAAAAATACTTTTATTATAATTTTTTTTATATATAAAACACTAATTTTTTACTCGTTCTTCCAATCCCAAATTTTTTCAAGAAATTTTTCACGTCCCAAATCATGGCGTGTCTTTTTTTCTTCTCTCCATAATTTTTTTTCTACAATAACTTGTGTTGCAATACCAGCATGATCGCATCCTGGATTCCACAGAGTCATATGTCCTTTCATTCGATTCCTATGTTCAAATTTAATATTATATAAATAAAAATGTGAAAATATTATAAAAACAAGAAAAAAATAAACAACATATTTAATAATTTAAGTAAATATTCTTATACAATGTATATAATTTCAGTTTAATAGTTTAAATATTCTTAAAGTTTTAATTTACCAAAAATGAACTTTTATTTGTCAAAACAATGAATTTTAATGCTCTTACCATCTTACAATTGCATCTTGAATAGCATTTGTTAATGCATGACCAAGATGAAGGTAACCAGTAACATTAGGTGGTGGAATTACCATTACAAATTTTTTATTTGAAACCTTTCCTTCTCTTCTCCTCTAAAGGATATAAAATAACGATTAAAAATATTATATACAATATATTTTACTATATGTTACTAAAAAAAAAATAGTATTCAAATTCAAATTTCAATATATATACAATTCCAAATTTATAAAAATTTATATTATATTCATACATTATATTCAGGTTTGAAAAATCCACTTTTCTCCCACCATGAATACCAAGCTGCTTCAACATATTGTGGACTATAATTATCTGGTAATGAACATGAAACATCTTTCTTGTGGCCTGGTATGATATTCAACATATATGTAGCTGGCTGTTTAATTTCTTCCTTTTTTTCAATATTTTTCTGAATGCATAAATAAAAATTCAAATTAATTTAAATAATTTAATCAAAATGTTCAAAATAAGATACGATAAAACTAATTATATATTATACATTTTATATAACATAAATGATTGAATATCTTAAATTTACATTACTTATAATATCTATTTATTCATTTAAGATAATGAGGAAACAAAAAACAATATATAAATTAATAACTCGTTAAAAATTTATACTTTTAATCGTTTATTAATTTGAACTAAAATAAAATTATAGTTTGAAAATAAATTTTTAATTTATAATATAAATAAGATTCTAAATGATATATAAATTATAAAATTATGATAAAATTAATTACATATCTAACTATTGAAAATCTACTACTATTGAATATTTTAAAAAAGAAATTTTAATATTGTTTAGAATTAATGTATTAATGCCAATTAGCAATAAATTTAAGTAATTATTTCAATTCTAAAATTTTAAATATTTACAGAAAAAGGTAATTTATCTTAAATTAATTTTTGAAATATTAAGGTTGAATTTATAATTTAAATATAAAATGATAAATATATCACAAAATAAACGAATTTAACTAAAACCATAATGATTTTTTATAAATCGGACCATATGTTAATGTACATTAAAATACTTAGTGAATATTAACACTTCTATCTGTTATAATTTAAACATTATTAAGTACCTTTGATCTTTCTTTAAGTTTTTCATCAGAAATAATTTTTTTTTTTTCTTGTTTTTGCTTGAATTTTTCAAGTTTAGCAAGCTTTTCTTTTTCCTTTTCTAATCGTTTAACTGATTTTGAATGTGGTTCTTGAAGATTGTATACGCTCGAATTTTTCTGAGAATCCGACATTTTGTAATGACTTGTAGAGTTAAAAAATTCTCCTTTAAAAAGATAAAATACATTTATTTGAAATTTTTTCTATTATTTATAGGTAAAATTCGATTATAAATTATAATATATATATACATCTAAACTTACGAACAAAAACAGCATAAGTATAATTATTATTATTGCTTTAAATCATACAACATATTTCGTTTTAAACCATATCCAATGGTTGAATGTATTGATTTCAAAATGCTCGTAATGTTAATAAAATATTCAACATAAATTCAAAATAATAATAATAACTTACGTTAAAAGTTTATAAAATGCTTTTAATTCGTGTGTAATAAGGAATTTAGAAATTCAGTTACTTCATATTTATATTTTATATATTAAACAAAATATATATTTGATATATATTGTTTTATCAAACCCTTGATTAGTTTTTATATTTTTTATTTAGCTATAAATATAATTAACATTTTAATAATAATTTTACATAATAATTTTAATTGAATTTAAAAAATTTTCTTTTTTAAAACATACTCATCAATTGCTACATATATATATGTATGCATATAATTAGCTGGAATTTTATATTTTCCTTTGAATAATTATTTTATTAAATTAATTAAAATATTACGTCTATAAATCTTAATACATTTTATTTATATTTATAATATTCCTATGAGTCAATATCATTATTTAATTAAAATTATATTATAATTTTATATAAAAATTAATTAAATGTTTTTCATAATTTTTATATGAAATTAGATGTTAAATGTTAACAAAATGATATATGATTAATATAATGATATATATATAAATTATCATAGTTATACATAGTAGATAAAATAAATGTAAATAAAATTGTGTATTTTGAGAACGTTTTGATATAATTCTAAATTTATTTTTGGTATATTGTATATTATTAGAAATTACTTTCAAAATAGCATACAATATATATAAATTTAATACAGAATGTAATATATAACATTCTTACAATATTCTGACAATTCTTGAGCAAGTGTAATGTTATTCATTATTACTATATATGTTAAAATATCAGAAAATTATAAGGTTATCAAATTTTTAGCTAATATGTATGATATATTATATATGTAAGTAAATTAGTAAGTAAATATCACTAACTTTGTAAAAAATGTAAGAAAAGCAACACAATATAAATGTTTGATTTCCAACGTCCTTCAAAGATAATTAGCAGTTAGATTATTCTTAGATTAGTGCATTCTAGTATGCAATGGTTAAAAAACATCTTGCTCATTGGTAGCGTTAATAATATCACATTGTTTATCAATATTGTTTATCATAAAATCTGTCATTTATTATACAATTAGAGAAATGAAAAATAAATTCAATTATCCTACTTTCGTCCATTTTTTTATATATCCTCTCAGATTGAAAACTTTAGTTTTAAACATTTTGATTATTATATTCAATTATAATGAACTATTTTTAATAATTATAGTATACCTAAAAAAAATTTTACAAATATTATAATGGTAGATTTTAATTTTTTTTAATTTAAAAGTAAAAACTACATCATTAAAAATGTATTGAATTGCTATAATAAATTAATTATAAATAACTATAATTTATGAAATCTTATTGAGAACAAATAACTAACATTTTTTATTACGACAATTTTAAATAATATTAATTTTTCTAAATATTATTTTTACGTATTCATCACTTTTTTATTAATATAATTGAATTAATATAATGCATATATTTTTTTACATATATATTTCATAAAATTATTCATAAACGTTCGAAGGAAACATGTATTATAAATATAACCATGTTGAAGAAATGATAATTAATTATTGTGTAAAAATTTCAAATTCAATAAAGAGAAAATGTAAATATGTAATATTAATTTCTTTTATAACTTATAATAAACACAAAACAATGTATTGTCGATTAGCTTTATTTACAAATACTTAATTAATGTAGTTAATATATATATGCTCAGCAGTATCATAAGAGTTAAATATTTAAAAACTATGTTATTAAATGTATTTAATTCTATAAATGCTTTTCTATAAAATCATTTTAAAAATTCTAAAAATTAGAAAAATTTCATTTATATAACATTTTCAGCTTTATATATTATATTTCATTAGGTTATACGTGCTTAACGAATTCATTTTTAAGATGAGACTCCTTGCTTTTTATAATACTTTTATAAAATATAAATTCATAAAATGTTAAATTATAATAATATCACTAATCGGACAATCAGGTTTTTTGAAACGATTATTAATCCAGATATTATAAATAAATGAAATCCTATATGCATCTGCATAACAACTAATCCAAATATTTTATTCGATAGTTTAAAAAAAAAAAAATACAGTAAGATGGGTCATAAAAATATTCAACTAAATTAAATTATATTAAATTAATTGACAAATATCGATTTCAAAGTACGTGCAGATGTAGATACTAATATTTAGGATACATTAATTTAAAAGAAAAAAAATGGTGGTTACAAAATATAAGTAAACTACGTTTCATTGCACTCTCTTACAGTAATTTAATATATTTTTGAATTATTGTATAATTTTCATATTTGCATAATTATACTAAATATTTATATTAACTATATTAATATTACTATACATTGTTACATCTAATTTTTTTAAATCTTGTTATAAAATGCATTCTGATACCTACGAAATATGAATAATATTTTAGTTCAATCTTAAATAATTTTATTTCACTATAATATGATCTAGAAAAACTCAGTTCTGGAGAAAGTAGGTGAAAATTCAAGTTAATTAAATTTGAGCCCTAAGAATAAAAGGTTAAAATAATTATTTAATGTAATTCTAATACTTAATGTCAATAAATCATTCTAAATAATTATAATAACTTAAATTTTAATTAACTTAAATATTTTTAATATATACATACATTTATTTTTTATTTATATATTATTAATTTTGAAGTGTAAATGTATGTATATAACTATATAACTATAAATATAAGTAAATATATTAAAAATTCTTTTTATTTATAATTAAGCATAACATGATAGCAATATGTACATATATTTATTTATATCTATAGTTGTTATGTACATTTCCGTTTGCAAATTAATAATCAATATATACTAGCTGTAGCTATTAGGTCATATTAATGTGAGATATTAATTTCCCTTGCGTTATTTGGTTACATTATAATTATTTAAATAAATAAAGTAGGTATCTAACTACAATAATATTTTAATTAAATATTAAACTAATCATATTTCAAAATGAATGCATATTTTTTAATGTAATAAGTGCCTGTAATACATAAAAATTCGTATGCATATTATCTGATTTATATAAAAAATAATTAAAATAACAAAATTTTCAGCACTTTTTTAAAGAAAAAAATATTTAAAAAATTATATTATTCAAAAAAATAAAGATAAAAAAATAATAGAATAAATTATACATACTATTAAAGCGTTAAATTTATTATTTTAGAAAATATATCTATTACATTAAAATTTAATTTTGTTAATTAATAGTTTAAAAAATTATTTCTTAATAATATTAATATTATTTAGAAAATATAAATCACATATATTATAATTAATCAATAGGTTAGGGGATGTAGCTCAGTGGTAGAGCGTTCGCTTTGCATGTGAAAGGTCCCGGGTTCGATCCCCGGCATCTCCAATTTTTTAAATTTATCATTAATTAAAAGGAATTTTAAAGTATTATTTTTATTGCAGTTAATTTTAAATACTACGTTTAAGAGTATGAATATTTTATTTTTTTATATTTAACGCAATTCGTCTTTTTTATTTAATTATATTCATATTTAAAATTGATTAAGCTTTATTTTAAATGACTTAAAAATATGTTAACAATATATATTTTTTAATAAGTTGGATATAAATTATATTTACATATTTACATTAATTTATTTTTTCTACTTTCATTTATTTACAATTTGATCAAAAATACATACTACATTGCTAGCAACCACGTATTAGATTCATAATATTAATTTATAACAATAAATAATTATATATCAATACAAAGGTATTATTTTAAAAATTAACTTATTAATAGCAAAAGAAATTGTAATAATTGAAATGCTTGTTTTTTGTAATGGAAAAAATTAAATGTGGTTTAAAAATATTGTAAATATTGTAATAAAATTATTTTTTAATAACTGTGAATTATTGTAAATACAAATTATTCAATCTACTATTATTTCATCAGTTATACTATATCAGTTATACTATTTTAAAAGACTAATTTTTATTTTCAATATTAAATTATTTGCGACGATACTTGATATGAAAACTCCATTAATAAATCAATAATTATATGCACTTATAAAAGATTAATTTTTTTACAATTATAATGAAAACTGAATTTAAGATTTTAGTTTGTTATTACCTTTTAAAAATTTTAAACTGAATATTGATTAATTGAAATTGATTTTTAGATGATGGAGATGCTTTTGTTATTATAAGTAATATAGTTATAGTATTATATATTGTAAATTAAATACAGCTACATATATGTATTTGATTTAATAAAAATATAATATAACAAAAATTTTTAGTTATAGTTAATAAAATATTTTTAATAAAAATCAAAAGTAACAAGATAGCAGGAATCAATAAAATAAAATTTTTTCAATGTAATTAGAAAAATATGAAATACTGAAATTAAAAATAAGGATTATAAATAATAAAAATAATTTATCATAGAAAGAAGATTCAAATCAATTTTAAATATTCAGAAATAAAAAATTTATATAGGTTTACAGATGAAGAATGATAAATTTTATTAAAACATTGACTTATAAAATTATAAATAGTGGGTTAGCTCTCAAGTAATATAATCTTTGTATTTCTAAAAAATGATACAACTAATTAACATTAAAATTTATGGAATTAAAAATAAGCCTTTTACAAGAACCATGTTCTTATAAAAAAAGTGGTATCATAGATTATTTACATAAAAATAAGTAAAAAGAATGCAATATAATTTGAGTTTTATGATCATATAACAAAACTTTTTTAAGTGTCAAATGTAATCCATATATGGTCAAAAATATGTCAAGTTACAAATTTTCCAATTGCTTGCAATTTAAATAAGTTAGAAGTGTGACGATATTTTAAATGTGAAGTTCCCATAAACAGAACTGTCACATTTTACCAAAAAAAGTTTTTCTTCAGTTTTTCTTTATATAATCATGAACTGGAATCAATCGCTTCGGAAGGTCAACTGGTATGCAAAGCAAGATTATTGTTTGTAATGACCGGTTTTCATAGTAAAATTAAAATACTTAAATAAACATCCAATTACCAACTTCATACTGACCAACTGGATTTTTAAAAAGAGCGACACAGCGACAGCGACGTATTCATTATCGTTACGTTTTTATCGCAACCTGAAAACAGTGAACGAGGGCTAAGATCGGTCATATATTAGAAGCAAAAGAATCAGTTTTATTCATAGACATCTATTACCATGTATTTTCGATTTTTTAGCCCAATGGATTTAGAAAAGATAGAAGTCTATCACCAAATGATTTTCATTTATTAATTTTAATTTTTTTTCGAGTTTAAATTTCTTTTTAAAATATCATTTCAACTAGTTTGAAATAGTTTCAATAATTTAGTCATATTAAACGTATTTATCTGTATCAATAATAATGTATTTAGAATAAATATTTACTATATATATATTATATCTTTTATGAATATATTATTATTACTATCCCTTTAATGTAATATATACATATTGTTCGGAAAATAATCCCACAATTTGACTAGTCAGCCAAACGTGCAATAATTAACGTAGAAGAATAAAACCCACTAGATGTTATGTGGGGTTGCCGGGCAAGTAAAGGGTGAATGCACTGATTAATAATTAACACATGTCTTTATTATTTCTATTTATTTGAATTGATTTACAAAAGGGTGAATTACAGACGAACTTTATATTTCTTGATAATCTTGTGGTGTTGAAATATATTTACGATGAATGAAGCAGGTTATAATCTATTGAATATTATCGCTAAGAGGTTATCATGATTGTAGTGCTCTGATCAAACACTGGAATGCCATTGTGTTTATCTTAACACGTGTGTAGTTGCCTTTAAATATCGGTCGTAAGAGAGCCGAGATGGAGCGCAAATTATTCTTAATTTTAGACTGAAAATTTGTTATTGCTTGATTCGAAATTTATCTTATCAATTTAAAAAAATATCAACAAATATTGACATTTCTTATTGGCTTTTTATTTTATGTTATAAAAATTACTTCAAACTATTATTCAATTATTAAATATTATTTTACTATCAGATATTATTTGCTTCATGCTTTTCTTCATTAGGATAATTGACATTGTCCTTATTGCGATATAATTTTTTCTGTTAAATAATTAAAATACACAACGGATTAATAATATATCTTAATAATAAATGTGATACACAAATATAGCAAGCTTTGCAATTATCTACACATCCAATTAAAAAATTTTTCTCTACAATGTTATCTTGCTTCTTTCATTTCTCTTACCCATTAAAATAAAGAAAAATAAGATTTTTATTAAATTGTGGATCGTGTGCGTTAGCTGTTATATAAATTTCGTGCTCCGAAAAATCATTTTATTTCAGCTTATAACGAATATTCATTAGATATATGATTCCTTTGCCTTTCAAGGAACCTTCAAAATCCTTATTTATAACGTCTTTACCTCTATCACTATCTAGCATTGTTTTATATTGTATTTTAATTACGTTTCAATCACTAATTGCTCTGCTTTCAATCATTTTGGTTCTTGAAAAACCGAAAAACTTTGATAAACTATCGGTGAAAGTAAAATGTTGTTTCTTGATGAGGTATTTCAACTCGTCACACATAAAATTCGAATTCATCATAAATTATTAGTGTTATAAAATTAAATTTAATATTTGAATTTTTCTGAAAATTTTTGAAGTACTTATTGCCATGACGATTAATTTATTTTCCATAATATTTAAGTATTTAAATTATTAGCATTTTATTTCGATTAACTATCATATTGAAATTCCAGTTTTTTGTTATTTGAACATGTGTGTGTGTATGCGCGCGCGCGCGCGTGTGCATACATATAACGGTAGTCGAAATCCGTAGCTTTAATCATATTATTGCATGTGAATAAATATCGGTTCCCGTTATCTGAACCGAAAAATCTTTTCCTATTTAGCAGTTACTTTAAGTAAAAATAAATTTTATTTTAAGCTTGGTATTAACAACACGCTATTTATGGTTATTAATATTCCTATTTTTCTCTTACTAAGCTTTCTATCTGCGTATTATATATATATGTAATATATCTATTACTAATAATATGTAATAATAGTGTCTTAAATTACAAGATTTAACTGTGATTTAAAAATTTACAGAATCGCGTAGAGCAATATGAAATAAACAGTTATATTAAAGTATTGACGGTTTATTTAAAACATTTGACTTTAAATAAAATTAATAAAATAGAACATTTATAGTTCAAATAATTGAATAATATACAATTTATAATTTAAAAATTCATTCATATTAATATTAATTTTGATATAAATAATTTTGATTGATTTAAGCAAATTCGTCATTTACTAACTAATTTTAATAAATATTTCAAATAATAGAAATCAAAAAATTTAAGTAGGAATTAAAAATTATTAGTATATTGAATAAATTATATATTCAATTTTTTATAAATACTTTATAATAATGTTATTAAAATTAAAGAAGTTAAATTCTTTTCAATATATTTATATTTGTTAATGATTTAATGTAACGTAAATTGTTAATAGATATATAATAAATTTATGATTCTTGAAAGATTATTAATAATAATGACAATATACATTTTAAATACCCACCCTTATTCAGTCAATAAATTCACCAAATAAAAATTTATTAATGAATATTTATAAATGAATATTCACAATAATAATTATATTTCATTACAAAATATTGTAATATTTATAATAATCTCACTTCAAGAAAAATGAGAAATAATGCTTTTTTATTTATTATAATATAATTAAAAGAATGAAATTGCAATTATTATATTTATTAACCAAATATTATATAGATATACATTTCTTTAGTTAATTTGTATTTAAAATTATAAGTTAAAAACTGAATATGAAATATTAAATATATATTTACGAATAAATTTTTTTATCTATTGTACATCATTAAAATAATTGTAAAAAGTTGTAAAATAAATGTAAAATAAGAAAATTATATTATTACATATAAATTATTACAAGAGATATTTTTAAATATTATGATTTATTTTAATACTATTTATTATTATATTATTATGAGTGTTATTTAATTTTAAGATCTTAACATTTTCTGTTTAATATTAAGATAAAACATTTATTTTTATTGTAATAAACAATACCAAATAATGATTATAACAAATAAAATTTATACAATAAACAAATTATTATATTTATAAAATTCAGATTATTTTAAAATTAATCTTATTTTAGTATATTTTAATCCATATTATTTATCTAAATAAATTACAGAGTTATTTCTAATATTTAATTCTAAACTATTTATTTCCGTGCTATTATAACTTTCATAGAACATTTATTTAATAAACAATCATTTGTAAAAATATTATTGTTAATATTAAAAAGAAAGAATTTGATAAATTTTAATGTTTCTATCACTTTATATTTTCATTGCTTAAATTAAAAAAAAAATTAAAATATTTAAAAGTAAATTTTTTAAATACAAGAATTGATTTTAATAAAAAGTTAAATTAGGTAAAATAGTTTTAACAAATGTTTAAAAGTACTTAAATATGCTTCAATAAATTTGCAAGTGCATCGTAGATGCTGCCACCTCTGGACTGTTCATTAAAGTCCAACTTTAATTATCCACTACTAGATTTCAAGATTTTTAACATTATTTATTAATGTTAACTCAATCTACATAAATATGTGGCTGTATTCTATATTTTAATTTTCGTACTCTCCGGAGCATTATCGTTGAAATATGAACGAAAAAATGTGTAAGATTATTGTATATAAAAATGTGTAATTATTATTTTCTATGTAATAAAGTGATATAAACATGAACCACAGCAAATGATCTATTCGCATAAAAAATAAACTATAGTAAACATGAATAAAAATATGAATTCCCCATCAAAACTCACAGAATTTGCACCATTAAGTCCCGAGGAGAGTAAACCTGTTGTTGTATCTATATTCAACAAAATATTTAACCTCACCAAAAGTAAATATTTTTATCAAATAATTACTTATTCGTGCGATTTAGATAATTAATAACAATAGTAATTTAAACAATTATACAAAAAAAAAATGTATTATGAAATTTATTTTAGAATCATATATTTTTACATTATAATTTGATGTATTCCTTATGGTATTACATTTATAAATGTTATAAATTTAATTTCTTTTATAACTTTACTGAGTTTATAATAAATATATATATTAGTTTCAATTGCAAGTAAGGATCGAACTACTAATTCCAATAACGATATTCAGAATTTATCAGAAGATTCTGAATCATGTAAGCAATTAAGAAGTAAAGAAAAATTACCTTCAGAGGAATCTACTGGTACAAGGTTTTCAGTTGATGCAAGTGAAGGTCGAAGTCTACCAAATGTTTTGAAAAGGATTAGTAATATCGTGGCTTTAAAAAATAATGTAAATAATATTTTTGAATTTTATTTATATTATATTATTTATATTATAAAATTTTAATCGTAAATATTTAATTTATAATATTTAATGCTTAAATATTTCTTATAGAATCTTAAATCTTATAAAGATTCACAACTCAGAAGTTATTGGATGCCTGACAGTGTCAGTAAGCAATGCTATGAATGCGGTGAAAGATTTACAACATTCAAAAGAAGACACCATTGCAGAGTTTGTGGACAAATTTTTTGTTCAAAATGTTGCTGTGATGAAATTCCAGGAAAAATTATGGGATGTATTGGTAATACTTATATATAATTTAATGTAAAAAAATATTTGTAATTTATTAGTAAATATTAATAAAAAAATGATAAATATATTTTATTATAACATTCACATATAAATTATATGTTATAGGAGATTTAAGAGTTTGTACTTATTGCTGTAAAGTAGTTTTATCATATTTACAATCTTCAGATATTGGAAGTGTTCTTTCTGCAGATTTAAAAGCTTTACAAGAAGATTTAGAAGAAAAATATGGTAATAATTTGCCACAACAAAAATGTGCTAATGAAATATTAGAAAATGAAAAACTTGCTCGCCGAAAACTAAGTGTTGGCTATATGGAAGAAAAATATGCTTTTGGACGGTAGATTATTAATAATAAAAATATTGTTTTGTATTATTGTATTTATGAAATTTATTATTTCCATATTATAGATCATCACAAAATTATGTAATATCTCAAGAACGAACGTTTGCTTTACAAAATTCATCATCACTACGAATGATTTATGAAGAAATGTTTCATTCTAATCAAGCAATTAATTTGCAAACTCATAGAATTCGTTTAAATCGTTATTATAATTGCTTTTTTGGTAATGAATTAGTAAATTGGATGATAACTCAAAAAAAAGCCACTACTAGGTAAAAAAATTCGTCTTATAGCAGTGTGATGAAATTATATGAGAATCTTAGAATGTTTAACAAAATTAAAAAACGCTATAAGCTAAAATAACGATCATAATTTTGTTTTTTGGTTATACTATAAAAAAATTTGTCAGTTAATTTTTTAAATTTTGTATTACTTTTTAAAATAAAATATTTTTGTATATCTACGAATACTTCTTTGTATTAATAATTATCTTTAATTTTTTTTTTTAATATGTGAGAAATAAATAATGTGGTATCTTTATTTTTTATTAAAATATAAAATATGGAAATAATTTTATAGAATCCAAGCAACTGCAATAGGACAGGCTCTGTTTGAAGTTGGTTTTATTGAATCTGTTCTATTAGATAATGTTTTTTGTGATTCTACTACATTATTCAAACCTGTAAGACTATCCCAAGTACAATGCAAACATGTTTTGATTGAAAGCCAAACTTCCTGTGATGCACAAGAACCTGCTTGGGTTAAAACAATTCCACAACATGATTTAAATACTCGTATATATATATATATATATATAATTTAATCTCAATAGATTCTAAAATTTACAATGCATTGTTATTATTATATACGTGTGTAATTATTGGTAAATTATTTTTATAGATTCTGAAAAGGAAAGTAAGCAATTAACTGGAATATCCACTTGTATTTCATCATCTTGTTCAAGTTTTTATCTGGATTTAAATATTGAGGCTTCGACTGTTACTCTTAAAAGACCAATATCTGTAGATAGAATATCTTCTTCAATTGACTGCAATGATCAATTAATGGAGCAAAAAAAAATTAATTATATAAAAGAAAGCAATTCAGAAGATGTTTTAAATGATACACTTCTAGTTCAAGAAATAAAAAATAGAGAAGCATGGCATCAAACGACGAATTTAAAGAATGGTTATGGTGAATCCAATATTTACAATAGTCTATTGTATGTATAAATATTTAAAAATATATTACAAATTATATCTTATACATATTAATTTAAAGTACATGTCGAAATTCTTAATAATAGCAATTTAATTTATAACAATAGGAAAGTTTTTAATTTGAATGTATTGTACTTAAAATAATTTAGAATTTTTGTTCATTGATGAGCAACTGTATATAATATACCTTCTTTAATAATTAAAATCTCAAAATATTAATTAATATTTTATTAATAATATTTTCAAATATACTATTTTAATTAAGAAAATATTAAGAGACATTATTTATGTAAATAGAAAAATTAATATGTTTAAATTAGTACAAGATCATTGAAATTGTATAATTAAAAAAATGGTTTTTAAAAAGATTTGCATACAAGCAGCATGAAGATTCTCTTCTTCGACAGCTTCTTAACACAGAAGGCTTACAACAAAATTGGTCTAAAGTTATTCTTGAAATAGTTCATCAAATAGTGGATCATGTGAGTCCTGATCTCCATCACGACGTTGATGATATGGACATTAGACAATATGTACAAATTAAAAAATCTCCTGGTGGTAATAAAAATGATTGCGAGATTGTATCTGGAATTGTGTGCAGTAAAAATGTTGCTCATAAAGGAATGAATGCTATGATTGCAAATCCTAAGATTTTGTTACTTCATTGTGGTCTTATGTATCAGAGGGTTGAAGGAAAACTGCTTAGTTTAGAACCTGTAATGTTACAAGTATGTTAATTGAAAAATTGTTAATTTATTATACTTTGATTTATTAAATTAAAAAATATACCAATTTCTTTGATTGTTAATGATATTATTTAATGCAAGTCTTCTAATTGAAACAATTATTCGATAATAATAAGACTGTAATGTAATTATTTATTCTTAAGTAACTGAGAACTTTATTGAAAATATTTAACATTCTTTTTATTCTGTATTTCATTAAAAATTTAAGTATTTTGTATTACTGCATTAATTGTTTAATGATTCAGTAGTATCGAGTGCAACCCAATTCTTACTTTATAATTTTATTTGGTTTTTGTATATTAACTTTATTGAACGTTTTAAATCAATAAGTTACTCTAAAATTTAAAAAGAATAATTCAATTATTTTTATAATTACAAATAGTGTTAATTTCATTAAATTTAATTTTAATTTTAAAAGTATGTTTTTAGTAACGACCAACTAAATTATCTTTCAACTAATATAATACAGATATATATTTATAGGAAAATGAATATTTGGGACATGCAGTGGCAAGAATAACTGCTTTAGGTCCTGATATAGTTTTAGCACATCGATCTGTATCCAGATTAGCTCAAGATAGACTAAGAGAAAGTGGTGTAACTTTAGTATTAAATGTAAAACTCACTATACTTGAGAGATTAGCAAGATGCACTGGTGCTAATATTATTGATACTATTGACGCTCATATATCTGCAAGATATAAGCTTGGAACATGTAAAAAATTTTATTTAAGGAACTTCCCTAGTAATACAAGTTAGTAGTATATATATTTATATTACTAATATAAAATAAATGAATATATATTATTAAAATTATTATCTGATATATACATTTGAATAGATATTTTTGAAAAATTATAATACTGAATATAATTTAATTTTAATTTATCAATTTGTTTAATTTTAAAAATTCTAAAAAAAATTTTATATTATAATGAAATAACAAAATATAAAACTTAACTGCAAAAAAGTGAAATTTTTCAGCTGGCATGAAAACATTAATGTATTTTGAGGGATGTGCCAAGCCTCATCTTGGCGCAACAATACTGCTTCGTGGTGATTCACAAACTGAATTAAGAAAAGTAAAAAAAGTGACATCGACAATGATCTTTGCAGCATATTCAAATCGCCTTGAAAAGTCCTTTCTAGTAGATGAATTTGCAAGACCACCATCGCCCAAAAATAATTCTTTCTTAGATGAAACATCTCAACATACTTCACCGAACAAAACTGAAGTGTCTACAAGTAGCCAAAGTAACTTTTACATGCTATTACATTTTTTATATTTTAGATTTTTACTTGCAATTAAAAAGGTTATAATGTGAAATTAATACAAAAACATATTTTGACATTAGACAAATTTTTGTTTCATTTTTACTTAGATAATTACATATAGTATCTTAAGAATATAAGATTATTAAATATTTTGGTTTTTAACAAAATAATAATAGAAATATTACAAATATTTTTATAAATAATTTTACAATTGAACATAGCTTTACAATTGAAAAAATATTCTACTACTGTTTTATATGATTGAATAAAATTTTTTTAACAATGACAAAATACAATATATTATACATAATTTATAAACTTATATTTTAACCCAAGTGATTGGTATAATTTTTTATTTTAATAATAGTATACTTGACTTACTAAATTTTCTAAACTTAGGTCTAAAATATGTAATATATGTAACAATTTAAAAGTAAATAATTTATATAAAAAATATATAATATTAATTGTTTATACTTATTACTTTGATTATAATTTATTTAGAAAATCAAAAAGATGATGTGATTATTCTTGAAAAAACGTTTGAGAATGATGAAAGTATCTCAGATGACCAAGAGAATTTTGAAGCTCTTTTACCAATATATAAAAGTACACCTGTGAAAAATAATAATAATGAAGATGAAGCAAATATTGAAAATGTTAGTAATAAAAAAAATTTCAATCAAGTTTCTGCATCATTAATCAAAGCTATCAATTCTTATGATGCAATTAAGTTATTTAAAACTAAATCAAAATTAAATTTTGAAGAATCAAAAATTAATAATAAAGTATGTTAAAATTATTGTTATAAATATAACTAAATATATTTATCTGAAATTGAAGGCAAATCTGAATTAAGAATTTTATTGTAATTAAAATTTAATTATTTGTCCTCTTTGGTACTTAACATTTAGTAATAAAAATTTTAAATATTATATTTTATAATCATAATATTTATTTGAATTCGCATTTCATATTTTATAGTAAAAAGAAATTATTTTTAATGTTTTAATGTTTTAGTTTTAAAATTTATAATGAATATTCATACATCATAAATTTTAATTATTGAATAAAAAAATAAAAAGTGTTTACTGTTACTAAATTTCAGAGACATTTTTAATATTATTATTAGCATTTTATATTGATTTTTTTTTATTTTCTTAGTCAAATATACCGAAAGTTTTGACAATACCTCAAGCTATAAGCAATGATATATCAAGTTTTGATATATCCTCTGATTGCAATTGCACCTATGAATTCTTTGGTAAGGATAGTAGCTTCTACAGCAATGACGATCAATTGGAAAATCTCGAGGTCAATAATAGACACAAGTTAATGTCAGACGAGAAACGCGTATGTGGTGAGTCAGTGAGCGATAAGAGTGATCCATTGCATCAATACTTAAATGAAGATGATGAAGAGGTATTTCTCAGAGCTAGTCCAAATGGACAATGTCTCAATGTAGCAGATTTACCCTTACTCAACAAATTCAAGAAGGCACTAGAGGGTACAATTCTTAGCATCTCACCATACATGAAGTTCTCTATACCATACCTAGAAACTGAGACAGGCAGAAATTGTGTGCTCAGAAGTTTTTTTCCCACAGAACTCTATTATTCAACATATTTTTCTGAAAAAATTGAAAGTTAGTATTTAAAAATTTCTGTTTATTTTTTATGATTTATTTAACAATATTATTATATCAAGAAAATATAATCAGTCTTAAAATGTTTCATTACATAATAAACAAATTTTTTGAAGTATGAAAATTTTAAATAAATAGGAATTTAAATTACAGTATTAGTACCTTACTAATTTATACATATTTAAATAACGTAAGCAATTGTATTTATAAATTGTTGAGTTCAAAATTTTAAGAAAAAAAAATGTCTAAAAATTATTTAAATTTAATTAAAAAAGAAATTTACTCAAAAAAATACTTATGAAAATATTATATACCTTCAATTTTCGATTATAAGTAAATGAAATTATAAAATTGCAAATCGGAATAGATAAATTTAAAACATTGAGTAACTTTATATGCATATTTATATATATTTTTTTTTATTTAAATTTAAATTTTTTAAAAATATTGAAATTTTTTGGTTTATAAAATATATCTGTATATTCATCAATTTTCAAATTATTTTTAATTTACATTTTAATATATATATTTTTTATTATATGAAAATTTATTATTAACTTATTATTAGGAGCAAAATTGAACAATTCTATTGGAGAAGTTTCAAAGATTGACTATTCTGCAAAGAATGTAACATTCAAACCAGAACATCCTTTCATACAGACAAAATTAACAATGAATGCAGATAGTCGCGAAGTACAAACATTGATTTCCCATTTTCGTGCGTGTGGAAGCCAACTATTACCCATGGACAATGTATCTCAAGAAAGGAAGCAAATCTTACATCAAAATAAACCAATGGATCAAATAATATGGCCTGATTGTTTAGATTCAGCAAGTCACCAAGGGTTGTCAGTTCTATTTTGTAGTTTTCTTCACAACAACAATACGTAATTTTACACTCTAAATTTTTGTGTTTGAGCATAACTTAAACATTATGGATATTTTAGCGATTAAGTTAAAAAAGTACAATTTAAAAAATAAAATGATCTTTATTAAATTTATATTTATTGTATTTGATTTTAACAAAAATATTATTGGTCCATTGAATGTTTTCTTTTTTAAGAACTTTATTTTTTATTTTAATAAATGTCATAATATTGTTAAAACAATATATTTTTAACATTTTACAGAAACATTTCATTGAATGATTTATTATACAATACTAAATATTGTTTGGTTTATTTTAATAATAATATTTTCTGTCTAATTTTAATAATAATAATAAAATTGATATTATATAACTTATATGCTAGTTCATTATTACATTATATGTATACATATCTACATATAAGTTTAAATGCATAAAGTTTAGTAGTAAAATATTACTACAAATTACAATTAATTACTAAAATCTTGTATATTATTTTATAACAATATATAATATAAAATTTTTCAATATTGATCAGTTTTAAAATTTCATTAAATTTTTAATCATTTCTTACTTAGTAATACAAAGTTCTATTTTTGAATTCATAAATTTTCTATAACTATCTCTGTTTTTTCTTTTATGTACTATATATATATATATAAATTTTATAATTGCTTAAAATACACTATAATATTTTTAGGAAATATTAAAAATTTAAATTAAAATAATTTTTTTAAATAATAATATTAAAAGTATAAATATTTTTTTCTCAAAAAATTAGTAACAATGCTCCAGCGTTTTGTGTGAATCCATGGGTGGTAAATATGGATCTGTATGGACGTAACGATATAGCATTGGGCCGTTTCTTGGAGCGTTATTGTTTGACAACAGAATATAAATGTCCAGCTCAAAATTGCAGAGCACAAATAGTACAACACGTACGACGTTTTGCCCACGACGGTGGTTGTGTACACATAAGCCTTTATGAGATGAGTGCCAATCCATTCGGTAATATAGGTATGGTAGGCATAATAATTTTTTTAATTAATCATAAAATTTTTATTTATTAATTAAAATTAAATTTATTAATTAAATTTTTAAAAACTGCATTATAAAGATTATATCAATTTTAATATAGTTAGTTGATTTGTTATTAGTTAGTTTTCAATAAATTCTAGTAAAGAATTGTAAAATAGAAATTGTGTAATATTGCACAGGCCAAGAAAGCTCGAATCAGATATTTATGTGGAGTAAGTGTAACAAATGTAAGAAGGTTTCTCCAGTTGTTCCGATTTCTGATGACACCTGGTCTCTGTCATTTGCAAAATATTTAGAGCTACGATTTCATGGTGGTGTATATACTCGACACGATACCGAGAATTCGTGTCAACATTCACTTCATCATGATCACCAGCAGTATTTCTCGAAGAATAATATGCTTGCAGTTATGAGGTATAGCAAGATCTCGTTATGGGAAATTTCTCTACCACCACCACTCATCTCTGTTATCTATGATCCTTACATGCACACCCACGTAATTGAAGAAATAAAAGTGTTAACGCTTAAGGGTGATGAAGTATTTTCTAATATCAGAGAAAAGATCGGTAACGTGCAAGATGAATCAATAATGAATGTAATGAAAGTACAATTTGCTAAAGATCAACAATATTTCAAAAACAAAATTGAAGAGCTGCAATTAATCGCTACTTCATCTTCCCCAGAGAACAACGAAATTTTAAGTGAGTTATATATACGTTTAATGTTATATAATTCAAAATTATAATTTAGCGACCCTATTCATTGTATTAGAAATGAATTTTATATTATTTTTAAGTTTAGTATATGTGTTATTAGGTATTATTATATTATTTATGATATATATTTACTGATTTTAATGTATCTGATACATTAAATATTATAAATAATAAATTAAATATTATATATTTATACAAATTATATATTTATTATAAATAATAATTAACAAAATAATTTATTAAATATTTGATTATGCAATATTTGAGTATATTATACAATTTAATTGAATTTAAAGATTTATACGTTTAGTGTAAACTTCATTTTAGAAAATAAGAATATTAGTTAAGCTATAAACTTTAAATATCAAAATTTAGGAAATTTGAAATAATATTTAAATTTATTATAATATAAAACTACTACATAAGCCATTGATATGTTATTTTTTTAAATCTTATAAAATTTAACGCTTTGTTTTTGTTATGATTCATTGACAATTTGATTACAGGTAAACAATTAGATAATGATGCACGTAATTTCATATACAGAATTGAGGATGGCCTTGTGATACTTCAACGTCTGATATCTGATGCAGTGTTTAACTGGAATGTTAGATTCGCTGAAACAAATTCCAAAAAGAAAGACGAGCGTCAAAGTCGCAAACAATCTGAGCGTAGTTACATCGCTAATAACACTAATGGTAACGTCAGCGAAATAATAGATAGCGATGGTTACATTACCGAAGGCATAGCATTAGAATCTCAAATTGAGGGCCCAAATCCTATATTAGCAGATTACAATGCCGTTGATGCTATTACATCAATACAAACAGAAAAACAAATTGCTGAATTAACAGTCATGGAGAATTCGATTGATAATATGCCAAAAGTACCCATCATCACCAATCCAGAGGAAATTGTCATAATTCAAGGTTAGCACAATAAATTAGCTTAATTTAAGAGAGAAAGATGAAAAATTATTTTCTAAATAATAATTTATGTTATTTTTAAAAAACTGTACATTGTTTCATGTATTGCATCAAGTATTTACAATTTTTATATAAAAATATTTAAGATCTTAATATAATTAATGATTTTTTAATTATTAAATATGAAATTTTATAATATACTATTTATAATATATTATGTAATGTATTTTATAGTAACAAATCATACATATTTTTAATATAAGAAGAGTAGAAAATTATCTACATTTAAATAAAATAAATTATCATTCAATTTTGTAAACATGATAATTTGACAAAAAATAATTTTATAAGGTTCACCAAAAATTCATCAAAAATCATTTTCTGATATATTGGCTTCAAATTTGGAAGAATTACCTGACAAAAAGAAAAAAAAGAAAACTATTTTATCTCAGTTGTTGCCATCAACACCTATAATAAATATTATACCAAATCCACTTGGACCTCTGGAACATCACTTACTACCACTCGGGTAATCTATAATTTTAATATTTTTTAATAAAAATTTTTTGTAATCTTTAATTAAAGTTTACAGATTTAATTTTTATTTTTTAATAAAATAAGTATATTTTATTGAAACTGAATTAAACATCATTTAAAATATATTGTTTGATTTACATAAAAGCAAATATAATTCATATATGAACGTGTTCAAGATACATAATCTAACAAAATCAAATTAATAAATTATACACATTTCAAAAATTATACAAGTTTTGATAAGTATATAATATTATATAAATTAAATTATAGATCAGTTGTGCCAATTGTTGTGAACGAAGCAGAGCCATCCTCTATCATAGCTTATGCTCTGGATTCACATGATTATAAACATGTGCTGCAGGAACAGTTGCGAAGTATAAAGGGCTCAGAATTCATTTCAAGTCCACTTAATAGAAGAAAGTTACAAGAAAATAGGGAAAATGTAATTTAATTATCTAAATAATGAATTAAAAATATCGTTTGTTTTATTTTACATACATAGATATAGTCCAAATACCAATACTTTGCTTAGATTAATAATCAAATATATATTTTATCTATAAGCTCATCGATAAAAAAGTCTATACATAAAAATTACTGATATATATTCACATTAAAATATTAATAATATGGAATATTTATATATATAAGTTGAAAAACAAAATTTTTAATTGTATTAACAAAATTAATGATCGATATGGAAGTTTTATTTACCGGATAAAACGAATGTGTGTAATTGAATTTTTTGTGACAAAAAGTAACTAATCAAATTTTATTTAAAATAATGTTTTTAAAATTATGCATTTTATTTAATTTTGATATGCTTTACTTAATGCATCAGTTTATTAACTAATGCTATTGATCCATTATACATTTATAGTTTAATCATATAATTAAAATAATTATTTTAATTTCGTTGATTATTAAAACTTTTATTTATTAACGTTTTTAGATCAGCCCAATGGAAATAGATAAAGTGGTTCAAGCTGTTGAAACAATCGTCAATGTAAATAATACTGAAATTGATGAAGAGAAAAAAGTTGCTAAACAGCTACAAAATTATATAGAAGTTCAATTTACAGACTCTACTACTAATTTTTATTGCAGAATATACTTTGCAGCACAATTTGCTACTTTAAGAGAAAATATTTTATCTTATGGAGAAGAAGGATACATTAGAAGTTTAAGTCATAGTATTCAGTGGGCTGCTCGAGGTGGAAAAAGTGGAAGTGCTTTTTGTAAAACAAGAGGCAAGTTTGTACTTTATAATATTGTTATATATATATATATATATATATATATATTATTATTATTACTAAGAATTTAGTATATTTTTAGATGATAGATTTGTTTTGAAAGAAATGACTCGTATGGATGTGCAAATTTTCCTGGATTTTGCTCCAAATTATTTTGCTTACATGGATAAATGTCAAAAAGCTAAACAACCTACGTTGCTAGGAAAAATAGTTGGAATTTATCGTGTATCTTTCAAAAATAATACAACTAATGCTGCACTCCGTACAAGTGTACTTGTTATGGAAAATTTATTTTATAACAGAAGTATCACTGACAAATTCGATTTGAAAGGTTCGGTCAGAAATAGACTAGTAAACTTGGATGATGTTGATCATGAAGGGGAATTAGTTTTATTAGATGAAAATTTATTAAATAGTAAGTTACAACATATAAATATTCAAATACAATATATTTAAAAGTTATTTAATTTTATATTAAAAATAGTAATACCAATTATTTTTTTATAAATTAGATCTATTCTTAACTCCTTAAAATATTAATTATTATTATTGTTAATTAGCAATGATTACATAAAATATGTTAAAACGTATTATATATAGTCAAAGTTACATATTTATTTGGAGATATAGATTTACGTATATATTTACAATTGATTTCATACATCAATTATTACCTTCAATAAATTCAACTATAATAATCATTTTACATTTTATTATCACAAATATTTATAATATTTACTCATTGTCTTCATTAATTTTATTTATTTCAGTGAGCTGTGACTCGCCTTTATATATACGACCACATGCCAAGGACGTTTTAAACAAAGCTATTGAAGAAGATACTAAATTCTTAGCAGATAACTGTGTAATGGATTATTCACTATTGGTAGGCCTCGAGCCAAATTCAGATGAACTTGTGTTGGGCATAATTGGTAAAAATTTAGTTATGTATTAAGATTATTATGCACATACATATATATGTATAATATTTTATATTTTTTAAATGTATATATTTATTAGAAAAATATTATTTTTAAAATTAATTAAGTTGCAAAACTTTGCTTAATAAATAAAAAATATATATAATAAATAAATATTTTATATAAATAGATATAAAAAGTAAATGGGTAATTTAAAAATTAAATATTGAAAAATGAATTTTATTAATTATTAAATTAATAAATCTATTTCTTTTCAATATAGATTATTTACGAACCTTTACGTGGGATAAAAAGATAGAAACCATCGTGAAAAAATCCGGAATTTTAGGAGGTCAAGGCAAATTGCCGACAATTGTCTCGCCTGTAGAATACCGTGCGCGCTTCATTGCCGCAATGCATAAATATTTCCTGCCAGTACCCGATAGATGGACTGGTCTTAGTCGTGGTGTCATCACAACGTAAAATGAAAAATAGTATATTTGAAATGTGGAACATCTGATGATAGAATATAAAACCAGTATTATTAAAATATATTTTTATAAAATAATGAAAATACTTTTGGTTATAAGTTGGTGTAAATTACTTCCAGAAAATAATCGTTGTTTTATTTATTCAAAAATTATCTTTATTAGCAGCTTAATATTTGTTTTTTGTATTTTGATCTTATTTTGGTGAAAAATTATAGTTCTATTTTTGATGTAATACTTTGAAAGCATACTGAACTGTAATTTCGGATTTTGTAAATATTCTTTTTGATTTGAATTTATGAATTACATATATTTACTATTATATGTTACGTAGTTTTTTTTATAATATATATACCATAGTAAACCTAATGTTTTAAAAATGATTGTTGCATAATTTTAAATTAAAAATTACATGTACATGATGTAAATCATCAGTTATTTTATTAATTATATAAATAAATTTATTTTCAATGTTTTTTTTTAAAATGAAGTTTAAAGAACTAATTTTTTAGCAGATATATCGAACTTTTTAAGAAAGTCCTGTGATGAAAAGTATTATTATTTAGGTAATAATACATATTATTTTAAATATGGAGAACAGTAATTTCTATTCATAAATTTCTTGTTATTAATATAATTAATATAATAAACGAATTCATAAATATTTTAATATTGATAATGAAATTTATATAGTGTACAAAATGTATTCGCCGCTCCGGCTCGTTTTACCAAGACTAGTTCGAGGGATACAAATTGATGCCGTTGACAACTCAGAGACCACGGGATATTGTGTGATAGCGATGTAAGGTCAAATGGAAGGAGTATAATAAAATCAGTGAAAATACATCTGGTTATTATGCTATTTATTCTGTTAATTTCCAATTACAGGGATGACTAGAATTACTGTTATCAATTGTTGAACTGTTGTTGGCTACGGAGACAAACGTAATCTTCCTATAGTAAACTGCGTGTTGTTTCTGCTATGAGCACCGAATGGTGCGAGGATTGCTTTGTCGAATGCTCTCCGTGCGCATGGGCACATGCTTTGTTGAGGTTATGGTCGACAAGGTGGGCGCTAAATACGCGGAGTTTGTAATAAGAGGTCGCAAGATTCTTACATCTTTAGGGACAATGCCATGTATTTCAACTGTTAGTAAGCGTTGAGTGGCGCGTAGATTGGATTAATGAGCAGCGGACTCGAGCTAAGGTGAGGGTAGGTCGGCAAGGTACGAGCGAATCGGCGCGAAGACTTGGCGACGAATGCTGTATGTTATTACGCACTGAATTCTCCTATGAGAAATTCCGCCTCAATTCCTTATGGATGTTCGATGATGGCTTTATACTCTGAATCTTAGATGTTAGTTATAATAATTGAATAGTTGATACTACTTATGAAGACACAAAAACGGGGAAGGGATCCCAAATGAAAATCATCGTCAGTAATGTATTTAAGAGAGACAACTTCGAGATTTAATTACTCTCAATACAATTCTTACCCAATTAGAAAGTAAGGGTTCCTACGCGTAGTTCAAGATCATACGTAACACGTCCTTCAAGAAAGAAGTAAAAATTCACTTATCGGAGTCCGAAGACAAGTACCAGATGAAGTCCTCATCAAAGAAGGAAGCGGTAAGTCCATCGACTGAGTCTACAATTAAATACATTAATGATGATGGTTTGTCCTTCGATACTTCTAGAATATTCTAGAGCTTCGTTTTCTGACGTCATTAAGATTTTGGGCCTAGCAACACGGCCAAGCGCTGTTGTCAGCGTCGGCAAACTGCTACACAAATATTTAAGAGCAGCTCGCCACGCACCGCGCTCACTGTACTTTTAACATCTACTTAGTCACCACGCACCAGTTTCAATCATTTGTTCATTCATTTGTTATCGCGCACGGCATTATTAATTAATCAAGTATTACGTCAAGATTTTACGTGACAAATACCACAGAGACATTGGTATACCTCCCCCTGCCCCTTTGAGAATGGTTAATTCTACCTGCTACTGATTACCATTACCATTACCATCTTCCTATCCTCACCTCATGAGCATGGTCGACTGCCCAATATTCAACATACTTACCAATCTCCATAACATTAACGACATCGCCACCATCACGAAGAAGCAACCTCACCACTGCAATAGAATTATTCTCTCTCTCTCTCTCTCTCACCTTAAGCAATCATAAAGCTGCAATACTGTAATGATTAATAAACCAGAATAAACGATGTCTTAATTCAAGAACATAGATTGTACATATTTTCAGTCCTTCCACTTGTGTTTTTCCTACTAATCGCTACGGCGAGAGACTAATCCACTGAACTATTGAATTGGCAATTCTTGTCAGGTAGCATGAGAAGATGGTAGTTGAATCAAGTATGCTTGATAAATGAATAATTATACTTGATGTGGTGTAAGATGTTTAATGGAATGTGTTGAGTAATCAATTGTGTCTTTAATTATTTAAGGAAACAGTAGAAGAGCTAGTCACACATAAGTGTCATTGATTACAAACCTTAGAAATCTAAAGGATTTCTTGAAAATGTCCTTATTATTGATCAGTCGATATAATGTAGTCTGGCCTTGAGGATGATCTTGACTTGTTGCGCCATTGAGTCAACTGTTTCAGGGAATGCACGACCACGTGCTCATCACCTGCTGACTATTTCAGAGCACGCACGACCACGTGCTTATCACCTGTCGACTGCTTCAGGGGATGCGAAATTACCCGTTGTTTCTTGTGCGAAGTGTGACTAGCTTATTTTATTAATATAAAATAGGTACCTAGTAATTTGCTGACAAAGTCTGTTGATTGCTGTTTAATTAATGTTCCCTTTGATTACTATTCCATTGGCTTCACTGTAATCACTATTTAATCTTCCGATTTCTTATTCTTATGCACGCGTGTATTCTTAACTATGCTGCCGAATATATGGCTACGTGTCGAATTCACAGTATACTAAAACACTGAGCGGCAGTTACACTTGAGTGAGCGCGAAGTGATATTACAATGAGCGTCGCCACATGGCGAGCTGCGCTTAAATATACATGCAGCGGATGCAGCGCCGGCAACAGTGCCGATGCGAGTCTTTTCCAGAAAATTCCTTGTGGCGTTAGAAAACGAAGCTTCTAGAAGTTTCGTAGACGTTCTTTCTTTGTGAGATCTGATAGTATATTATATTTCATGTCGTAAAACTTGCTCGGACTTGCCAAGTTCTGTTTGTAAACATTCACTCGAGTGCGCGTGCCGGTCCGAACGTGCGGGCCGGTCTAGGCGCGCATGACCATTTTTTTTTTAAATTCATGGAACTGCATCAATCCCGAACATATGCATATAAAGATAATTATTATGAAATAATTTCTGAATTTACGTTTAAAATTAGAACCTTCGTTGAAATTTTTTTTATATGATTGTGTTCGAGAATGTAAGAATACTCTCAGCTCATTAGACATCTGGAAAACTCGAGTTAAGAGTTCCGGAAAAAGCAAACCCTTGATTACCTAAAGAAAAAACAATTCATACGCGCCCTGGCTTATCTAAAGAAAAATAACTCAGCAAACCTTCGACTATCTAAAGATAAACAATTCATAAACACATCTGGCAAGAACATGCGATCATCAAGTGTCTAGCCAAAACACGTCATAAAACTAATGCGACGAGAAATTCGACGCGACCACGCCATAAAGCATCCCTCGACGACAAGCTATAATACATCTGGCGTAAACAAGTCATAAAGACATTCAAATAACACAAGCCAGTTGATCCACTTAAAAAACACGCTACACCTAACTTTCACAACACTGACCGAACGCAACGCGCATGATTATGAGAATTACATTCGACGTTACTAGGATGGAGAGGGAAAAGCGCGGCATCAAGTCCCCCGTTATGGAGGGGAGTTGAGCAAGACCCGCTCTCATTGTAGCCTCCATCATGAAAAGACGCACTGGAGACTCCACCACTCAAGAAGTACCTTAATTAGAAATACCATAAACTAAAGAAGACTTCTGATTGGACATACTAAGAAGACAAAATCTCATAGGCGACGCCATAATCGACAAAACAGCTCTGATTGGAGACGCCAAAAGGGAGGGAATTCTCGCCGACCACCGCGTGGCCGAGAGCAATCAACAATCCAAGTAGAGATAATCCCGCAAAGGTTATTCTATTCACCACAAGTGTTAGATAATTAAACTTACACAATCAGAAGTGAAAAAACGAAACGAAAACTAAGAATATCAGTTCGCACAGTATACACAATCATAACTACTAAGAAGCCGTTCGAGGCAAACTCAACAAACAATACGAAGCATAGCAAAACACAACGTGTAGAACTAAGAGGTAAAGTTCCAAACATAATTAATACATAACTATAACGATCCATACGCGGCCAATATGCAGATACGTAAAGCTACCAGCAGAACACAAAACCCTAGCAATTCAAGCTAACGCCACGTGCCTATATACAAGGAAGCGCAGGGGTTTACGACTTCGCTCTTCTGCGTGTATTATTCCATCAACACGTGCATTACATATAGAGGACCAGGAAGACCGTCAACTTTTTCATGTACATGCAACGTACGTGATCGCTCAGTGGCAATAACAAATAAAAAATCAAGAAACGCAAGCACTGAAACATCATTAAAATTCATTATAATACAACTAGTGCAATCTTAGCAATAAAACATAACTAAATAACAAAACTACTCTTTATTGAATACATGTACTATCTTATCCAGTAGCCTGCAATCCTCCTATCAACACCTGGGAGTTCACGTCTAACTTTAGATATTTGGCGCTCCTCGCCCGGTACTCTATTTTTAGACAGATTGATATGAAAAATAATGAAATTATTTTATGATATTTATTACCTTGATGATGATTCTTGTAAATTGTTATTTTAATTCAATTATTAAAATATTAGGAGATATTTTTAAATTAATATAAAGTTGAAATATTAGTTTCAATTAAAAAATAAATTATAAAATTTACATTGAAAGTAATGTTTTTTAGAAAATTTTCATATTACATTATATTTTTGATTACTTTTATTAATAGAATGACTTTAGTTAAAATTGAGTAGAAATTCGATAGTCAATGATATGTACATTATTTCTATATGAATTTGTATCAACGTTTATACTAATTAC